AATTTTGTTATTTCAGTTTGGATCTCTAGCATTGGTCAAGTTAGGAAGTATTATAAGTATTTCAATCAAGACTCAAGCTGGTTTGATGCCAGATCCTACTGCCAGTCATTAGAAGGAACCTTAGTAACGTTCCAAAACTGGAATGAACACAACTTTGTAACCAGCCAAGTCCTTCCCCCAACATATTACCGTGTTTGGATCGGGCTGAGCGACCCAGAGAAGTCTTGGGAATGGAAATGGGAAGACGGTTCATCATTATCTTTCAATCGATGGGGTGGAGGTGAACCAAACAACAAGGGGGACGAAAACTGCGTGGAGATGATAGGGGTATACCACACATGGAATGATTATCCTTGCGGAAATACTAGGCCTGGTTTCATTTGCGAAAGGACGGCTGTCGAGAAAGAAGATTATGACCAAGTTGTCGGTAATGACAATGATGATGTTAATGATGACGATAATGATGATAATGATGATGATGACGATGATGATGGTGTTGACGATAAACGATGACGATGACGGTGATAATGATAATAATAGTGATGCCGATGATGATGACGATTAAGCGACGAAAAGCCACTGACCACACTCAACAAAGGCGCGCATAGTAAGGTCTATTTCATTGCAAAAGATAAACTTGTTGATATTTTCCATAATCATTACTCCAAGTTATCAGTACTATTCTTTCACATTAACAATTTTTTCAACAATTTTTTCACATTAAGTCTCAGTCTCTAACCAGAAGTAGCCTTTTCATTTAATTTTGCTTAAATCGATTTTAATCATAGGGGAATTTCAAACCAAATCGTCTGTATTTTTTTTACTTATTATATAAAATTTTACGCTTTAGGATAGCTGCCTTACTACCATAATCTCTTCTAAAAAGCACGAGGTGAAGGCTACCATTTTTTTATGTACATCTATAGGTTGGAATTAAATATGGTTTAACCTCGATTTCCGTCTGTATTGTAAGTCTCCTGATTTATGGCATTGGCAGGGATTTCAAGATGAGAATAGTAGAGAACCATTAGAAAAGTAGAGACGTTCAGAGAAATAAAGTCAAACCAAGGCGCCATATATTTAAACAGAAACGTATGCGGCACATGTCACCTCTAAAACTTAATTGACTTTTTAGTTCTAATGTCTTTGTTTTGCGTTGTGTCAGGGCTCGATTTAAACTAGCCTTACTAAATTGGATGCCCCTGGATGAATATAAGTATAAATATATGAATAAAGCGAAGAAGCCGAAGTATATCTGAATATCAGCGTAATAGTTTCGCAACACCTCTCTCTTCATCTTGTCTCGTGCTTTGTTTGAAACAAAGTTAAGGAAAGATTTGATGATTTTCAAGATGTCATACTGAGAGAAAATGTAAGAAATACCAATTAAAAATAAAAGTTGACAAACATCAATAGCTTTTGTTGTTCTAATATGCCGGCACTTACCTAGTAAAGCAACAGTAGTGTTTCGTAATACTTCTCTCTTCGTCCTATCTTGTGCTTTGTTTTAAACAAAGTTAAGGAAAGATTTGATATTTTTTACGATGTCATACTGAGAGAGCACGTTAGGAACACCAAAAAATGATAAAAGTTGACAAATATTAATAGCTTTTGTTGTCGCAATATGCCGGCACTTACCTAATGAAGAAAAGTCAGAAGAGCTCCAGAAGTCTAATTAAGAAGTTAATTGTCTTATTTTAGCCTCAATCTATGTTTTTGCTGATTTCTTCTTTTTCAATCGCGCGATATGAATATTCTTAGAGCAGATTACGCTCAGCCATAACTTACAACAGTACTGCAATTATGGTGTTACCTGCTGTTTCAGTCTCATCAAAACAGCTATTTGTGCAACANTCCCCACTGCTTGTGAGACAGCCATATAATAAATAGGTTTATTGTTAGTGTCTCTCTTCTCTCTGTGTTTGTTATCATGTGTTTTGGGGGTCTTTGTTGGCTTATTCTGACAATGATCAATCTATTCTATTATTTTGAAAAGTCTCGCATTGTGGCGATGAAGAAGGCTGGGCCTACTTCAGCTCTTCATGTTACAAGTACTTCCCCGAATCAGTTGACTGGAGTACTGCAACATCCCGCTGCCAGGCACTCAACAGTAGCCTAGTGACGTTCCAAACCGCACAGGAACACCAATTTGTCACCAGCCAAATCCTTCCAGCTTCTTATCACGTGTGGATTGGGCTTAACCTCTACTCTGGCGTCTGGAAATGGGTGGATGGCTCTCTGCTGTCTTTCGTAAAGTGGCAGCCGGGTGAACCAAACGGTGTCAGCAATATCGAGGACTGTGCGGAGATGATTCTTGAGTACTCGCTAGGTACCCACTGGAAACACACCTGGAATGATGTTATTTGTATAGCGACCATCAAATTTATTTGTGAAAGGCCGGCCATCTTGGAAATTGTTCCATGATAGACTATTGGCTGTGTGAAGGGTGATCAGTTGTTTGGATAACTTAGAGCCTGCTTTCATGGCGGTGGGGGGACCCCAGGTTTCTAAGATTATATGTAAGCGCAGGCTATTTTTCGACTAAGGCTAGGGGGGGTTACCTCACCAACCTGGGGTCCCCCACCCCCATGTTAACAAGCTCTAAAGAGGAATGCCACTCCCAGAATATACTTTTGTACAAAGGCAGCTTTTTAACTGAGGCTAAGGTCTATCCATGGGTAAAAATGTCACAATGAGCCAATACTAACTCTAAGTGAAACAATATGACCAAGTTACTCTTGTCTTGTCTTTTTATCCTATGTAATCTCCACTTATTTTAAAAATCGATGTCGTCATGGTGACCGGGTATATCAACATGGTAGTTTTAATTTTCGCAAAGGGTTTTTTTTAAACTTACGAACGTACCACAACTGAATGCATTTTTTTAGGAAAACATTCTAACTTGTAATTTTTAAGTCGGAAATTGACGCAGCTTTTGGGCTGCGGGCTGAGCCGTCTACTGCAGGTGATCTCTGCATTCGATGCTTTTTAAGTGTGTTTTAAAGTTGTATGTGATATAAATACGCAATCAATATCAATAAATAAACAAAAAAATTACATGGCTGCCTGTGGATACGAATTTATCTTTCCATGTAGAGAGAATCCTACTCGTGAGAGATTTTATATGCACTTGAAGAAAAATTCGTATCCAAGCGCGGTCATCTGGAAACTTTATATCAAATTGCGGTGAACTTAGAGTGAAAGGCCATCGTCCACTTTGAAAAAGAAATTTGAAGTGAATGATGTTTAACCACGATTTTGCCAAACTATCTGAGGTATGGGGATCCAAGCTAATCGCAAGGATTTCGAGGGAAGATTCAGATCAGAAGCACTTAGATCTTCATCAGCGTTATTATTATTTAACAACTTTAGATCTTCATCAGCGTTATTATTATCTAACAACTTTCGCTTTCCTATATTTTGTGTATATAAAGTTAACGATAGAACTGTTGACTTTCAAAACTTTCGATGTGTCATATCGAAGGAACATGCTGAGTATACCAATAAATTAGTGCAACATTTGCACCACCTCATAATTACCAAATAGGGAAAGTCTTCGGCTCCTCCAACTGTCAGGGAAAGTCTTCGGCTGCTCCAAATGTCTGACCTGGTGTTAATTTCTCTCAGTTTAGCCTCAATAGTTTTGTTATTTTCTTCCCTTTTTCATCGAAAGACATGAAGATTAGGGGACATCGCTCAGCTGTAAATTAAAGCAATGTTTTAATAATACTTCCACCTGCTGTTACTGTTTCATCATATAACTTTTTCGCGAGCAGTTATTGTTGCAATTTTTATTCCGTTTACAATGTAGTTCACCGATTTTGGTAATCAAACACTTGTTACCAGCATTTTAAGGGATTCTTTTTTTCCTTTTACAACCACTGGTTAGTCGAGTGTATAACGGGAAGTTGTAATTCTACTTTTGACAGTATTATAAAAGAGTTCAAGTTCGAGTTTCACCTGCCGGAGTTTTTCAATCAAAAGAACCTGTGACGAGAATATTTCGCCCAAAATAATAACGATTTCTAATGCAAATGGTCATGATTTAAAAGTCTTTATTACAGATTGCGTCACCGAGCGTCAAACAAACTTTTATATTTCATTTGTCTTTTATGAAGAAAAAAAATGCTCTTTGAGGTAGTCTTTAAACGTGATATTTTGGAACAAGATAAAAACCAGTTACAGAACGATGTCTGTTTTATCCAGAAAGAGTCCCGTTCCCTCGCTAAAACTTAGGCATCAAGTCAAAATATGCCTTGAAACACAACACCGTTTCAAATCGCCACTCATCAACAATGTGGGACCTGAGATTCAGATCACCTTGATAGGTACCCTATGAGCAGAGCCTTTTTAACCCGGCTTGGAGGGTTAAAAAAAAAAAAGAAAAGAAGAAGAAAAGAAGAAAAGGCTCTGCTCGCGGCAGGGTACTTGTTAGGCGTCAACTTGAACAAGAACACTATATATTTTTTAACCATTCTTTTATTTGCATATAAATTTATCTTATTTTAACTGATATGCATGATATATTTTGTGATCTGTTTTTATTTAAGTAGCAATGATTAGACGAGTTATTAATTATTTACATGTACATGTAAAGGTCCACATCAGCCAAGCGCTGCCATACTTTTGACCTTTTTCAATAAATGATGTATGTAGGCTTCGAAAAGTGAACGTACACGTCTAAAACGAGAACAACGTAGAATATCTTCATGCTCACACGAGTGTTTTCGCATTAAGTAAGGCTGTTCAAGGTTATTTTTTAGTAAATTGCTTGAACCCGGGGGTAACATGTGAAGGTGTAGTGTGATCGTCCGGGTGAGTGTAGTCCTGAGAAGGACTGTTGTCGGTGGTAGTGACTGACGTTTCGAATACCTGTGCGGAAGTCATCATCAGAGTCATCTGATGATGACTTCCGACAACCTGTGCGGAAGTCATCATCAGAGTCAAGTTTGACTCTGATGATGACTTCTGCACAGGTTGTCGAAACGTCAGTCACTACCACCGACAACAGTCCTTCTCAGGACTACACTCACCTGGACGATCAGACTACAGCTTCACATGTTACTTTTTAGTTGAAAACGCTTACTTTTCTCCTCTTTCACTTGTCATCCAAACTAAAACGCCCACTCTAGAAACAATGATGAAAGTTACAGCATGCAAAGCTCTTAAACCAGTGTTGACCTTCGTGTATTGTCATTCGAAAGGAACCATTTCCATAGCAACGCGTCAGTGGAGCACTCCATTCGTCAAACTGTTTGTAGTTTACAAATAACAACTCAGGACTAAATATTCAAATCTGGCAACTGTTCCATACACCAAGATTGAATTTTTTTTTTCTGAATTTAACACACGATCTCTCGTCGAAACCAGTTAAGAGTCAACGGTCATCTCTGACCTGAAATCAATAACGCTGCTAAGAACCTTTGGAAGGTGATAAAGTTCATCACATTTTGCCTTCAGGTCTCAGTCCTATCACTTCCTTAGCTGCACTGCTTATTCGCAGAGCTAAAGATCCAACCATTTAGGTAAGCATTGCCAATAAAGGCATGGTGTAACCCTTAGTATTTTATTTTTCCTCAACTGAACTTGTCCTTCCCAAAGCTATAAATCCAACCCTTCAGGTAGGCATTAAGAATAGAAGACATGGTTAAACTCTTAATACTCTATCTTGAGCAGAATGCCTTTTCTGATGCTAATATTTAGTTACTTTTAGTTGTTTACTTTATAGCCAATCAGCTGTCACAAAATGTTAATTTCTACATAGGCCTGTGAGTCTCTACACCAGTGCAAAACTGATCATACAACTGTGGCAATCTGGGAATGAAATTACGTAATTGCTAACACTATCAGCAATTAGTATAATTTCAGAGCTGAGCAAAGAGTTTCCAGCAATCTGATTGGTCGAGCAGTTCCTTATATGACGCTATATAAACCGCTCTGCGCGGTTTATATAAAATGTTCAACTAAAATGTTAATAAATGTTACTAAAATGTTATGATTTTAGACATTTCTCTGTTGTTCAGCTCTGAAATTATACTAAAACAATTATTAGCCTCAGGTTCAGTGAATATTGTCGAATAATCCCCTCAACTTCGTCTCGCGGATTATTCGATGATATTCACCTCGCCTTCGGCGAATAATTGTTAAATATAACTGTATAACAGTTCAATACATAACTTTCTTTTGAGATTGCTTCATTGCTAACAACATCAACAAATATAAATGCATAGCAGTTCAATACATAACAGCTTTCCTTTGTCAAGTAGATAATAAATGTTTCATGATACTTAGAAACTCTTCTTTGTTGAGGAAACAGTTGATCTATCGACCTCAACTTATACAGAAAGTCATTTCTGGTTGATGTAGCTATTTAGTTATTGTCAGTTGTTTACTTTACAGCCAATCCATTGCCACAAAATACAGCCAAATCCATTGCCACGCCTGTGGATCTCTAAACCTGAGCAAATCCAATCATACAACTGTGGCAATCTGGGGATGAGATTGCTTTATCGCTAACAACATCAGCAAATATAAATGTATAACTGTTACAGTTTAATACATTTAACAACTTTCTTTTGTCACAAACACAATAGATGTTTCTCATGATACTTAGAATCTCTTCTTGTAGAGGAGACAATTGATCTACTGATCCTTATCATAACAATAAAGGGGACTTAACATTCAGTCTTGTGTCTATCAAAAAACAGATCTATCTTAAACAGAGTTTCTTTAATGTCTCTTCCTGGATGAGCCAGCTCCCTTTGGCGACTTGAAGTAGAAATCAATTCCTCTTGGCTGTGCTCTTAGCGTTTTTCTTGAGTCCTTGACTTTTGATGTGTGCCGGCTCCATTCTGGTGGGCAGACCATTGGTTTGGGATAGTTTCCCCCCAGAGTTATGCCTGCATGTTTCAGTTCTGATGATGACAGCAGCCAAGGGGTATGAACTTTAGCACCTTTCAAACCAGCCAGCTCTGGAACCCACAGCCTTACAAAATCTCCATCTGGGTCATAATCAAGAGCTTGTTTGACCATGTTGAACTTTCGATTTTCACGGGGATCATTGCCGATGCCTGCTGAATAATTCCAATTGCCATAGTTACTGGATACATCGTGATCTAGAAGAAGAGATTCAAACCACTCAGCTCCCATGCGCCAATCAAGCCCAAGATCTTTCACCAAGAAGCTTGCCACGTTTTGACGTCCACGATTGGACATCCATCCCGTGTAGAGTAGCTCTCTCATGTTTGCATCCACAAATGGAACTCCAGTCTGCCCGTATCGCCACTTGTCAAATGCCACCATGTCACACTTCCATGGCAACCCTGTTTTCCTCATAATTCCAGACAGGTAAAAGATGGAGACGCCATATTTAAGGCTGACAAACTTGAAGTAATCTCGCCACAGCAGCTCAAAAATGACCCAGTACGTGGATTGATTTGCTGTACACTCAGTTTCATACTTTTTAATACAATCAAAGACCTTCCCTGGTGAGAGAGCTCCTACAGCCAGCCATGGGCTAAATTTTGTTGAGTAGTCTGATCCAATAAGCCCATTGCGAGTCTCTTTATACCTTGCCACAAGATCTGTATCCCAGAGGTACTGATTAAGCCTAGCGAGAGCTGCAGTTTCTCCCCCAGAAAATGGGAAAGCTGATCTTTGATCTGCTGTTTCTTCTGAATGATCCATTGCAAGTTCCTGTAAAGTTGGCATTCTGCCAACTTGGTCATCTTTCAAAAATGCAGGCAGTGATTTTAGACAGTCTGGGGTTGGAATAAGGGGCCGCACTCTGCATTTTGCCTCAACATTTTTCCGAAAGTCTGTGTATGTATCAGGCAAAAACTTCACAGAGGCAAATGGTAAATCTTCCAAATGGTACAGTGTCAATCCCCAAAAGGACTTCACAGTAACTTTTTCTGCTTCACAAAGCTTCAACAATTCTTCTTCTACATCTGTTTCTTCCTTTGTGATTTCTCTCTGATAAACAAGGGAAACATGTCCTTCATTCTTTGCCTGGCATAGGTTAATTATGTCTGAAACTGCCTCCTTTGCTGTCTGCCCACTACGTACAACTAGGTCACTTCCAAGTTTCCTTAATGATTCTCTTAAGTCAGACACACTCTCCAGTATAAACTTGGCTCTGTGTGTTGCTGTTTTTGCAAATTTGTAATGCCATGTTATGGCACCGGGGCTGAGTATGCTCTTGTCAAAGCAAAATAAAGGAATCACAAAGTCACTATTCTGATGTGCCCAGTGTAAGCACTCATTGTCATGAACTCTCAGGTCATTTCGCAGGAGGTAAATGACAACAGTTTTACCCCCTTCCATGGTAGCAGTTGTCTGTAAAAAGAATTACATCTCAATAACTAACAAGCTAGTAACTGATAATGATAAAAAAAAAAAAAAGATACGAAAATATTTCAATAACATAACATTGTGACAATGTTTTAAGAAGAACCAAGTTTTAAAACAAAATGTTACTGTATGAATTTATTAAAAAGCAAAGGGGTAGACAGGTATTTTTTCTAGAGTTAAGCCTCCATAATTGGAGATATGGATATAAAAATTGGTGAAGACATTCTATATTTTGAAAATCCTAAATGCAGTAGTCAAGTTCCTGTGCAGATTGCTACTGAGTGTCCCAATATTATCTTCTATTGAAGAAAATTTAAGTTTATTCTAATGGTCAAAAATCTCAAGTATTTAACAAGTTTTCAAGCATCAAGTACAGTAAGAATAAAGTAAATGAGATCTTCAAATACTGAAAAAAGGCAGACAGGCAACAGACAAAAGGTTACGTAACAACTCCACAATAGAACACTGCAGACACTCAAGTAATTTATCGCTTAGCTGATGATGAAGTAGGAATATTTAAAATGAACAGTCGCAATTGAGAATAGCTAGAACGGACTGAAGTCCCTTCCAAATTGTGAAAAGTGGCGTTAGCGAGAACAACAACTGTGCTGTGTTTCCGAATCGATTTGTCATGGACAGCGAACGGATCACTTAGCGGCGAGCATTGGAGTCGATCTTTAGCAAAAAGTGATCATATTGAGACTACCAACGAGTTCTTTACCTCGCAGTGTTGATATCTTCCCAAGGAATGTCGGAAGTTTCTGCTCGCTGAAAAGAAACTCACTTGAAAATCTGTGAAAGTGAAATAGCCACGTTGAATGACAAGTCGAAACATCAGTGTTGACTCTGAAATGATTGGGAACGAGGAAAACAAAACATCGTTACCAGTCCCACTGAGGCTCATTGGACCAGCCAAGGGTGAGTGTAGGAAATTTTCAACAACAGTTTATGGATTGTGGCAGAGTTCTTGGGAACAGAGCAGCCAGGAAAAATTAAACTATGAAGAGAAGGTAAATTCACCTTTAAGTATAACTCTCTTCCATCATCTTACGTGACTTTCTATGTATTTCTTCCAATTTTTGGATTGCGCGGCTGAGTCCAATTTTAAACGTATACACACCAGCTACGATATGTCACTTCAAAGAATTGTTCAATGAGGTTAAGGTCGATCGCGCTTTAATCAGGCAAAGGAAATAAGGAAATTTTAACAAGCTTCTACAAGACAGAAACCCACGGAGATTAGATTGCATTTGTCAGCCCAATAAGAGCGAGGAAACAAACATATTATGAATATATTATGAACATATTATGAATGCATATTATGAATGCATCACTCCTCCTGTTTTTCTGTAATTCGGCTTTATGTAGAAGTCAGTCAGGCATTAACTGTTTTTTATTTTAGTGCAGCTACATAGGGGACTGGACGTTGTATTCAAATATTTACGTAGACAAAGCTAGACAATCTCGTTTCCAGAGCTCACACTCCCCTTATCCCGCCCACCAAGTATTAGGGGGACGTGGACTCTGGATACATTATTGCAAGAGATCGCGTTGCGTGAAGAGAACCCAACGATGGCTGCATGGGATATTACTTCTATTCTTATAACTCTATCGTGTAACTGTCCAATCACATTTCTCAATCTCTGATGCAGATACAGCCGTAGGGACGTTCGTAAATTAACTTTGTGCTTTGCCTTACAGGGAGATTTCTTGGTTTCTTTTTTTCAGTTGGTACCCTTCGTTTTGTTTAAGTGTTTTTACAAGTTATCATTAAAAATGCTTCAGACAAACAGAGAGGGCAACTTCGTTGTGTTTCAAAACTTTTATCACAATAACAGTCTTTACATGTTTCATTAGCTACAGTTGATAAATAATGGTTTGTAAAGACTGTTGGTGCTATTTACAAATGCAAAATTTACAAATACTAAAAAAAGGAAAAAATGCAGTAAGAACAGTTTTCGTCTCCATTCATGAATTTTTAAACATTTCCTTCGTTCCCCAAATTGTTTTCTCTTTGTGTTCACTTGTGTTGTATATATATCTTATTAACCAAGCGCGAGGGCCCTACTGGCAGAATATCGGCCTGAGGTCTTGACAGTACGGACCGAGCGCAGCGAGGTCCGTACAAAAAAGACCGAGGGCCGATATTCTTCCAGTACGGTCCCGAGTAAGCTTGGTTAATAAGAGAGATATTACACGACTGAAGTTCAAAGGGACACAAGTGCGGTATCATTCGGGACCATTTGGGACAGTGCCCCGTCCAATACTGAGAGAATATTGACCGGCAATAGAGCATTTTAATTGGTTGATTTTAGTTATTGGCCCTCTGACTTCCCGAGTCGAGTAAAAAATACCAATACACGATATGTACCCATTTTCAATGCATTGTGGAGATAACAAAACATTGCTGTGAAGCTGGTCACAAGAAGAGAAAATCTTTGAAGCCTTTTCAAGACAGCAAATTTATGTGCAAACCGGAAACAAACAAACAGTCAAACCATAGAAAAGCAAATAACAAGACAAAAGTAAAACAACAAAAATAAATTACTTGTCACGGCAGAGAGTCGCTTCGTAAAATCTGAATTTTGATTTAGTCTCCTGTTAAATGTGGTAAAAACCTCTTTAAAAATAAGTAAATTTTACTAATAATACCCTGACTAGTTCTGTTACTCGATGGAAGTAGATTGAGTATCGTAAAACCGAAAGCAGTCTTCACTACGTCCAATCATATCAAAGGAAAACATCATCGTTAGCGAATGAGAACTCGAGAAAAAGTGAAGGGCGGGAAAACGCAGGCGACCTATCTCATTGGTAGAGAGGATGGCGCGAGTTTTCTTGACCAATCACAGAGCAGGGTAAATCAAAAATAAGTTCACCTGGTCCTGGATAACGATCGAAACTCACTGGAAAATTGTTCTAGTTGGGTGATTAAGTGAAGCAAACCCCGTGCAATCCAGTGATACTTTCATTACTGGTTTCTACCAGTTAAAAGTTAAACCATCAAAGCGGATAGTAATGGTGACTAAGCTGATTCTCCATTTTTCATGGTGATACGCGCGTTTTGGTGCCGGATTTGTATCTACAACGCGGTGCCAACCATAAGGCGAAGTTGGTATTAAAATTCTAGAGTTGCTTCACCAAATGGAAACATAGTTCTATGGACAAGTACTACTTGAAACTGCAGCCACGGTGCTAAAACCTCTACAGTGTACCTAGTCCACGTTTCTTTCATCGCGTCATTGTAACACATAATTACTTAAGTGGTATCGAGAGGGTAGACTCTTCTCAAACTCAAACCTAATATTCAAACACACACTACACAGTTACTTCTCCTTTTGAACATCAAACCTATCACATGTCCTAAACTTTGTTAAATGGATTGTATGGTCGAGTTAAAGTCACCATTTTGGACATCGGTCCCTTGTGTCTAAACGGTGACAACTGAACTTTAGTTGGAACTTTGAGTGTTCTGCAAGGGAGAAAAAATGTATCACATCTATCACAAGTGTCTAAAAGGCATCTTACAAAAATAATGCTGATTGACTTTCACAAAGAAAATGATAGTTTGCATCTTTTTGGAAATTTATCTCTTGAGGCAAATATGATTTAGAGATAATGTCCTCCTTGCCTAGCGGTTGGAGATGGTCCGCAACAGCACAAAACAGTCTCAAAATATCGCTTGATAAATGTAGCTCCTTTGACATGTTGCACAGAACCGATCTCATAACGTATAATACCTGTGAATTCTAGCTGTGGTGGTAGCCTTTGGGTCTGGTTCTTTACTGTGCGTAGGATGATGCGCTGAAAACAGCACACAGCCAGAGTAACCAGGAATATTGCCACGCCTTGAACAATGCAAATAAATATCTATTAGCCTTGGAGAATTTACCAAACCATTCACAACTTTATATTTTATTTGACCAATGTACTAATTTCCTTTTTTTTTTTCCTTTAAACCTCGATACCCCACAGAAACAAGTGACCGCAAATTCATGCTTTCCCACAAGCGTCCCCTGTCTCGTGCGTTCAAATGGTAAAATTTAAGGGGGGGCTAAGTTGAGAAACGTTCTCAAGAATGCCGCTTTCTCAAGTCTGTTTGTCCATAATTTTTCAAACTAACTACTTTTAAGGTTCTCGAGGAGTTGAAAAAACCTTTTAGCTGTGGCTGCAACTTTGATGGATTGGGTAATCGAATCTTTTTGAACAGGTACAGAAGAATTAATGACGCTTACTCAAGCTCCCTGCTGCTAACTCCACCTAAAAATTATGTACGCTTTTCATTCATGGACTGTCAACCAACATGAACTCCTATTTCTCCTGGCCTGCCTGAATAGCTGGTTCTTCATTGTACTAACAAGAGCTTTTTTTGTTTTTTCAATTAAAACAAATCTTCACTGGCATACATGTACCTTGCAGTGTCTGTGAATCTTGGTTGTGATGTCCGCACCACAGCAATTGGTGTAAAAGTCTTCCTTGGATGGTCTCTGTGACCAAATCCAGGGCTGTGGCCACTGCAAAGAACCAAACATACTTAAAAGGCGGTGAATCAGACCTTTGCAGCATGCCACAGTGAGATAGCGCACATTCAGAACAGAAATACTATTTACGTATGATGCACGATCCTCGCAGTAGAGAGCGCTACTTATGCAATAGCGAAAATTAGACCTGAAAAAAAATCAGGCCTGTACGGGATTCGAACCACTGACCTCTGCGATACTAGTGCAGCGCTCTACCAATTGAGCTAACAAGCCAACTGGGAGCAGGCCGTTAAGTTGATTCGTAATACACCCGTGATGATAAATCAGATACGAGGATCTCTTCTGCGAGGATCGTGCATCATACGTATCTAATACCGCAGATCAAAATATATGAACTTCATATATTCATCGTATTAGAAATACTACTGGTAGAATACCAGAAGAGTAAACTCTGTCTGACGACAAACCTGTATCCTGGTATATGTCCTGTCTTTTTGCTTGGGCTGCAGCTGAACATTGACAAACAAAAATAATGTCAACTGAGTCAAAAGCTCAAAGTTATCAATTTAATTTAGTTTGGTTGCATATAACTACATTTTACTGTACCTACTTTGTTATACTCTGCGCTGTCTTAAGATAAGTGCAATTATTTTAACAAATAATCTTGAAACAAGAGACAAAAACAGAACCCATCCAGTGCCCCCTCTCCCAAAGGGCCAAAAAGTGTCTAAATTGGGAAGCTCGTGGACACTCCCCAGCATCTGATACATAATGAAAATTATAGAAAAGGGTGGAGGGTAGAGGGAGGGGTGGAGGGTAGGGGAGGGGTAAAGGGTAAGGGAGGGGTGGAGGGTAGGGGAGGGGTAAAGGGTAAGGGAGGGGTGGAGGGTAGGGGAGGGGTGGAGGGTAGGGAAGGGCATGGAGGGTAGGGGTGGGCATGGAGGGTAGGGGTGGGAGGGGAAGAGGGTGAATAGAACATAATTTCTGGATGAATATTGAAGAATTCCACTGTAGGCACAGCACATGTAAAGTCCTCTTCTAAATTCCATAGATCACAACACTTTTATCATTTAATTTATTTATTTTATTTATTTATTGAATCGCTTTCACTACTAAAAGGACTAAAATATACATATGAACAAGACACAGAAGAGAACGGAGGACAAGGGTGCGGGACACAACACAGAGCAAGGTTCCAAATTAAGCGTGCCCTAATGAGAAATACACAAATACTAACTATGTAAACAATAGACAGTGTAAAAAGTACATAAAAAAGTATATAAAATAAAAGAAAAAACCAAAATGATAGGAATAAATCCCTCATGCAGGCGATAGAAAGTCCTAATAGCAGCAGTTACCAACTAATAGAATAGTTGATATTCATTACACTACAGGTACTACTACTTTTTGGTTTCTCACTAAAAACTAACCAATCTGATCATAAGGAATTAGCTATCAATAATTGGCACAATTCAATGTATTGAGCACTGCTGTTCATTTCCCATAATCTTAATGGTGACCCTGAGGGAGAACATGCAGCAAGACGTGGAAATGTTATTGCCGTTAACTTACAAATCAATGGGTCCATGTACATGGTGTCCATTGCGTGACTGAACAAAATCCCAACTGTGTGGTCTGCTGCCAATTTTCTGAAGATATAAAATTAATGTGAAGTAGAAAAAAAAGTCAAACATGTAAGAATACAACTCATTCTGAGATAAAAGCAAAATAACTAGAGGCCAGCGAGTCTTTCAATAAACAACACTCCACTCTCACTTTTGTAACATTTATTTACCCACTGGTTCCTTTGCCATTAAATAGTCGATAGGATAACACAAATTTGACTCCAAACAAAATTTGATTTCTTGCTCCTTTGAACAGCATTCAAAATTTTCATGACAATAGTGAACTATTTATTTCAAGCCCACTGCCTCCTAATACCTGGCTTTAATCCCTTGCTAGCATTTTGGACATCACAGTTAAGGAAATCCACTTTGACAGGTCAGTGTAAGTAAGTTGCTGATATTAAACACCAATTGAAGTGTCTTAACTTTGCACTTTCTTTAGCTAATTAGCTGGGCTGGGGGAATTATGTGCCGATGCAAAAGCACACAATTTTAGCTCAAACGCAAAATTCGCATAATCCTGTACAAAGTGCATCATTTCGACATAATTCTCAATATTTCAAGAAAAATATGTCCTAAAGGATAATTTTTCCTACCTTCAAAACTTTTTAAAATAGTTTTTTAAATTGTAGTGAATTTTGATGGCAAAAACTGTATTTCTAATCGAAAAGATCGTGTCAAACACGCAGGAAAACAAGTAAAATCGAATCAACGCTTCTGAAAAAAAAATGGTGCTATTTTGGTAAATTTATTCCAAAAACTTTCTTTTCTGTTCTTTTCGTGTTTGAAATGGAAAGTTTTTTCAAACCAAAGAAAAAATATTACAATATAACAGCCAAAGAGAGAGTTAAGCAATATCCTGGTGACTAATTATTTATAATTAGGTTTTCTTAATATGGACTTACATATAAATTTAAAATATATGTAAAATTCAATACTTTTAATATTGTACAACTTGCATAATTTGTGCATAATTTGCTAAATTTGGTGCATAATCACTGAAAAAATGGTGCATAATTTCTCATAAAATAGTGCATAATTCCCCCAGCCCTGAATTAGGTACCTGTAGTTGTCTACCTAGGGGGGTAATTAAATAAGTACTGACAAACTTTCAAAGGAAGCTAATAAGCTATTAGGAATAACCTAAATGACAACAGAAACTCCTAGGTGTTCACAATATTTAACTAAAAAATACAGTCTCCATCTACTCAAAACTTGATCAATTTTGCAAAACTCTTTGGCCCTTAGATGCTATTCCAGGGATAACTTCCGGCTGAAATGGGCATTTGATTTGAGACCGAATTGAACTGAGCTTTTCTATAAAATAAGTCAAATAAACAGACAAATTGTATACCTGCCAAAGTTCTGATTTGGGTGAATATCTTTTTGAGGTAAATCTGTAGGATACCATGTCTGGCTGCAACTCAACTGTGGTGATAGGTGGTGGGACAGATGGAGCAATTCTTGAACTCCAATCTACTCCACTGTACAACCTTCAAATAAACAATGAAAATGGCACATTAAAAAAGAGTGGACAAAAAAGGAAACAGAAGTTACACATCTTCATTGAAAAGAGCTAGTCGTTGGTTGTGGTCATCTTAGAAACTAAAGTTGAAAATTTTTTTTTCACATTTGTTGTTTACAGACTGTTTCAACCTTCTCTGTCTTTTACTCTTTAATGCCCAAGATCTGCTTGTTAATTCTCCCCTCTAGCTGCTACACATTTCTTTGTAAATTAGTCGAACGAATTTGGTGCAAAATCAGGATATATATCTTATTAACCAAGAGCGAGGGCCATACTGGGAGAAAATTGGCCCGAGGTCTTGACAGTATGGACCTCGCTGCACTCGGTCCGAACAAAAAAGAGCGAGGGCCGATATTCTTCCAGTATGGTCACGAGCAAGCTTCGTTAATAAGAGATTTATTATACGACTGAAGTTCAAAGGGACACAAGTGCGGCATCATTCGGGACCATTCGGGACAGTGCCCGGTCCAATACTGAGAGAATATTGACTGGCAATAGAGCATTTTGATTGGTTGATTTTAGTTATTGGCCCTCTGACTGCCCGAGTCGTGTAATAAAAACACTTCTACCTGATAATTTTGAGTATTCTCATTAATTGTTTGCTGGATTATGTACAATCATAGACCTAACCAAACTAAAAAGTATGACTTAACACATATCATAAGTTAACAAAAATGATTGTTTTTTTATTATTGAATCAAATTAATTTTTTGATTCCTTATTATTGGTAATTATAAAAAAAAATAATGCTGCCTGTGTGAATAATTATTGCACTGGCTAAGTAAAAATGGAGAGGGAAAACCTTTACGAACAGAGTAAACATCCAATATACATTTGACGATGTACAACTTATACACAAAGATTGCACAAAAGTAATGTGCCAATGCAATAGAAGATGTTAGTGAGGTGAACATGCACATTGTACCAGACATCACTTTAATTTGTAATTTTTTTTTTTAATTTAAAGATACATCTACATGTGCAATTATTTTAATTCCTTCAGACATAATTTCAACAATAAATTGAACATAGCTGCATACTTTTGAGTTTCTGACGTATAGAATGATCTTGTTGCCACTGCATCCCTCCATTCCTTGTTTTTCAGTAGCTCACTAGCTGGAACCTGAAAAGTTCAGGTAAAATTTGCCTTATTTGTTCTCATTGTTTCCTTTAGCTTGTGTGCGAGACTTTATGCTTGTGACTGGTCAGTAAAAAAAGATTGACCTTTCAAGATCAACTCAAAGTGTTGTACAGTTTTCTAAGCAAGTTGAATTTGTATCGGTACATTTTGATTTTAATGCACCACCAATGGAAGGCAACTAACTTGGTTCGAGGCCCACAGGGGTATTTTAGCAAAGAAATATGCCACAAAATTTTGTACTCCTAAGATGCAAATTTCAAGGTCACAGACAACAGATATTTTGGTTGTTGGAATCTGGCCTTTCATAGGGGAATGTAATTTCACCTTTAGAGGTGTAACAAAAAGACTTCTCAGGGGTATAGGATTTGGTCTTGATTCAGCTTCAACCTTCCTTGGTTACTGACAATTGGTAAGAATTTCGTATCTTTCCTTCAAAAAAGAATATCAACTCGTTATGATCCATACTTTTTGGGAGAGTTCCTTTGCCTCTTTGAATCCAGGAAATTGGCTAGGTTGCTGCAGAAGCTGCTCTAATTCTGCCTCAAAAAAAGATGAAGAAAAATCCCAGTCAACACAGTTTTAAGCTCTACATCTAATGGTTTGATTCAAATCATCTCTTCATAATAACCGTGAAAATATAAAAATATATATTTCTCCAAGCGTTTTGAGCAAAGTTCTCCAACCGTAACGCATGAATAACTAATTAGCTATATTAACCGTGACAGCCACGTACCAGTAGCCCCAAAACGCTAAATGAATCGTAGATTATATTGATACTTCAGTCTTTACTTATTACTTACTGTCAGTGAAAAGATATTGATCATAAAAAGGCTATGTAGTGTTATTCATGCTTTTTGAAAACGATTTCTTCGCAAAAGAAAGTATAATCACCTCTTCGAAGAGTGACAAAGTCGTAAACGTTGTTAGCAAAAGCAATACTACATATAGTTCGAAATACAATGTACTTTGCGCACTAAAAAACTTACCCATGCTTTTCGCCTCCCATGGAGCATTCTGCGACCTCAAGCCCGGAATAGGAGAGACAATCGGTCGTCCGTATGGTATGGCGGACTGCGGTCTATGATCTTTGTTCACAAGAGGATCAATTTGTTGATAATTTCCATCTTCCGCGTCGGCACCGACTGAGGTGAAACCACTTGTTGGATCCACAACTGGTGTATCGCTTCGCCTCGGTGCGTCGGCGCGACGCTCGCCCTTCTCGGCAAATCTGCGAAAATATGCTTCATCTTTCTCTTGAAATGAAGCTATATCGTAAGTGTGGAACGTTGCTGGAAACTTTCCGGATGCCTGTTGCCGTCTAAATCGCTGTTCCAAGGCGATAGGGTCTTCGGAGAGATGGAGACGAAATGTGCCGAATGGCGGCCGGGGTAAGGAAGTATTCACCGCCGTAGCCATCCCACCAAAACCAAAAAAAAGTATTTTAAATCACCAGTTACACATCTTTTACGTTGACTGTTGTGAATGGATTCGGCAGAAGTTACAGATTTTGATAAAGAATCTAATTTGTGATAATAGCCTTGTTCTGGAACGCGAACCGTCTGGTCGTCAACATGCGGTTGCTAAGGAAGCTTATATCGCAGGCTCAAATAGGTCTGCAGAGGCATCCAGGCAAACAATAATCACTTGAGGAATTTTCCTCACCTAAATCCTATTTACATGTCTCCAGTAGTTTAAAGCGTCTTACTTATTATTCATAAAGTTTGACGTTATTGTAAAGTTCAAATGGAACTTGGTACAAAAAACAAAAAACAAAAACCAAAAAAAACCAAAAAAACAAAAAAAACAAACACTTCTTATCAAAATTAGGGCGGGCTCTGGTACCAGGTTTTTAAAGGTTGGATAACGGTATCCACTACCCTGCGAGCAGAGCCTTTTCTTCTTTTTAATCCTCCCTTTTCTATTCGAGGGCGGGTTAAAAAGGCTCTGCTCGAAGGGTAATTATCCACTGGATAAAACCTATCTGGAGGATAACGCTTTACGTTTTGCTATCACTTATCCGTCGGATAGCGATTCGTCTGTTGGATAGCGTTTTCCGTCAACTGAGCCCAGGACTATAAAATTTGAATAGATCAAATTAACACTAAAACAAGTATTTCTTCTGTTATTTATCACTTCTCTCCCGGCTTGGGTGGGGTTTCCTACGTGAGGGGGCCAAATTGCCTGTTCTTGCCGTAATGTAGAAGTTCAGTCATCCAGTTGCACGGCCACAAAGATTCACCAGCGCAACACACCACAGTCTATACTATTTATAAATTGATCAATTTCTCTGCGATTTATAACTGACGAAGGCCAAGCCCTTGGAAACTTTGAGGGACCAGTTACTTGGAGGAAAACATGGAAATGCATTGCCTTCGTCTCTTAAAACAATGAAAAACTGAGGTAAATGAGTTTTTGCGGGAACTTAATGCCAGTGATCCGACTGCATGTTTTTTGACGTGCCGTGACATCGACTTCGACTCAAAAATATTATTATGAGAGAGAGGGAAGGTGGTAGTTGACCACTTTTATTAGCAACAAGGTAATACGTACATATGTAAGGTTGAGCTTAAAATACTCCTATCAGCTGGAAAAGAGTGCATCTACATCTCATACAGGTTTTTTTTCCTTTCTGGCAGGAGAGTTAGCTTCCCTATTTTTCTAATCCTAAAATGTAGCTGAAGAGCTCGGTTGTAAAATACTGTATATTCAATTCTCAGGGCATTAATTAATTGAAAGCTTTACGTAGTGTCAGCACTCTACCAGGCTAAAGTAATATCTACATAATGTAACCTTACTGTAAAAATACCATTAATTCTTAATTATACTAGATTCAAATGATTTAAAATGCCAAATACAAAATAATTATAGATTGTAAATAACAAAACTTAATATGTAAATTGAAAAGGTTTGTTTTTTTTCTTTTCCACTGAAAACTAAATGGGGGATAATTCTTTCTCTAACTGATACAAACTCTTAAGAACCTACAAAATAATTTCCAGTTACGCTCGCTTCAAATGTAAGTTGACAGTCTTGGCTCAGGCATGACCCATGCTGTCATTATTTGTTTTACCGCAAATTAGACAAAAGATACAAAAGGAAGCTTCAAGTTGTCTGAAAAATAATCTTCCCAATCTCATTTTTACTTTCTTGCCTTGAAACTCTGAACAAAAGCTTGACTTGAACATCTTGAAACACCATTCAAGCCTCCTGCCTAAAAATTTTAAAGAGTCCCTGATCGAGGATTGAAGATTGAGGATCAAGTTTTGAAGGACTGTCAACTTCCATTAAAGTGGTACAGTATTACTGTAATTCTGAGTTCATCCTTTCCTTTACAACAATGCATCAATTTCGAAATGAACTATAGTACCCAAATAGAAAAAAAGAAAAAACATTCCACCAGTTCTACTATTTTACAAGAGCAAGAGCAAAGGGAAAAGGCAAGGATGATGTCTATGCCACAGCTGCATTGTCAAATCGGTGATAGCGTCCATCTTCCACATCTTCAGAGTCTCCATCCTTTCTGTAAAGACCTGAAAATTAACAATTTACGCTCAGTCCTACATCTTCCAAATTGTGTCAGATCACTGCTTGTGCATTCTATGCTGACTTACAAGTTTTAGTTTGCACTTGTTTAGTTAACACTAAAACCAATGCTCTTTCATCTTGTTATGATAATATTCCTTCATTATATCATCAAATTCTTGCTAACTACTTTGGACCACAGCCTACTTCGAAGCCAGAGCACTTAACTCTCTAAAAAAAAAAAAAAAAAACAGTGGGTCTTTATTCAGAGCAGTTTTTGGACAATTTGCCTGATTGTGCCAATCTGATACCATAGCACCCAAAACTATCATAAGGTAAATAATAAACCTTACCATCCTCTCCATATAACCATTAAAGAAATTTAACATTCCTTTTATGACTGAAAATACTTTTGCTATAATTGTAAAACTTCAATTGAAATTCTTCACTTGCCATATTTCTTCCTGATTTCATCATGCTTCTTCTTTCTCTCTTCACGCCTTCAAACAGAGAGGGAAAAAAAGATTAAGTTTAACTTATTACTTGAAGGAAATTCAGTGACAAAGCCAGGACTCAAAGTGAGGTATTTTTGATTGGGGTACAACCAAGTTGCCACTGTGTCTATGATTCATGTCAGTACTAATCACACAAAAAAAAAAAAAAAAAAAAAAAAAAACCCATAAGTTATGACCATGCAAACCTTTCTTTGTGCTTAATCTCTATATCCTCCCTCTGACGACGCCATTTTGCCTCCTCTTTGCCAGGTCTAAGGAGAAAGATTGTAAAAACAGTTATTCAGTGAATGTTCTTTGCACTTTTGTAATGGAACTGAGGTCATGCCAAGAGGAATAATGTACATGTAAATCTGCAAATGGTTACCCATAAGGTTGGGATTGAAATGAAAAACAAATTTTTAATATCATTATTAATAATGAGTTGCGATCATACCCTCTCGCCTTCTTTTTGCGGCAACAGCAGCAGTAGATACAGCATCCTAATGCTACAAGTACCACAAAACCTGCCACTGGGAGGGCAATGAGAAGGATCTTGCCAGACACTTAAAACAAATAAAAGAAAAATATAGGTTAAAGCAGTTTTTTTCAGAACAGATCAGAAGCCTTTGTTTAATTTTCACCCTTAAAAACCATCGTCTACGTTCTCCTTACAGTAATGGTGTTGAATCATTTGTTACAATCACGGGAATAACGATCGCCAATTACAGGTACATACATACATACAACCATACTTTATTGCAACTTCTCACAAGGGTTTTTCAGTTACAAGGCAACATAAAAATCAAACCATTTAAAATAACTAAATAAATAACCAAATAACAAAGATTACAAATGCATGATAAAAAAATTAGTGAAATACATTAAAAGAAAGAGAAAAAAATATGATGGATTGGACTTACTATTTACAAATTCATAGATTAATCAGAAAAAAGTAGGCGGACAATTCCTTTTTGTAAAACCTTTGACAGAGTCATATAAAAAAGGTTTGATTTTAAAACAAATTTGCCAAAGGAAATGTACAGAGAACAGTATGAAGAATACAGATGGTGATGTTGGGGTTTTAAATGGTTAAGGCTCAGGGTGGTCATTTCAGGTGAATTAAAGCAAGCTGCCATAAATAAGAGCCATCTACAAAAATTAATGAAAAACTACATCCCTTGTAGCTACTTAAAAGATTTTTTTTTACATACTCCATTTTGACAACAGGTAAATAAAACAGATTATGTTGTCTAGTATTTGCAACTATCTGAAGTCGTGAAAAAGTTCTTGTTAAAAGTGAATCAATCCCTAGAATATTGAGAGCAACACCCAACAATACATTTCTTTACAGGATGAAATGCGCCTGCCTACCATCGTTCTTAAAACACTAACTCGGGGCTTGAATTTAAAAAATTCTTGATCACAATTTGCAAGTAATTCCAAAACTTTAGTCGCAAGTTTGAAAATTTTAGTCCCAAAAGTGACCTGCTTCTACCAGAACCAGAAATTAGAAACAAAGATTTCCTAGAAATTTCATGAGTGTTGCATGATGTAGTTTCTGAAAAAGTGCACCTGTGATACTTTTCTCAGCAAGAAATCAACGATAAAAGGCAAGCAACATTTAACTTGAATTTCCCAGGATTTTTCAGATAAAACTACAGCAACCAGTAACAAGTAAGGCACAAGGCTGTTTTAAAGTACAATTTAGTTATAAGCTAAACAGTAAAATGGTCACAAAATTGCTACCAATGGAGAAATTTTAGTTGCAAAAGTGAAATCTTTATTTGCAAAATTAATGTGCCCGATACAGGTGCAATTTGAAGCCATGCAACTAATTACATTGTAGATGATGGCTGTTTTGTAACATGCAAACACAGAATAAGCCATTCTCTCACTGACCAGTATGATTCCTGATCAATCTACTGTAAGTACACCATACAACTTACCGAACTGTGCTGGTAAAATACACTTATGATGATCAAACTTTGACATAAAAATTAAGACACAAAATTGTGTATTCAATAATGTGGTAAAATAAACCAAATATACAGCTGTCAACAAAGCAATAATTTCCTTTACAATAACAAGCACACCTTGAACAAAGAAATTACTCACCAAGACATTGTTTGTATTTCCAATCCTGACCTTCACAAGCTTTATGCACCACACTGTTTACAGCGTCAAAATCCCAACACTCTTGATTCTTCTCACAAAATGCACACTAAAATCCAAGAAGAATTGAAACTAAGAGAGGGAAATAAATGTTTTTCAAACAAGTTTATGACTAGTAGAGAACAACAAAGTCATTTAAAAAGAACATGGAAACACTTTAATCGCTAGACACAACTTATAACTTAACCAAACCAAAATAGTTTATGGACAACTGAATATATTTAAACTGCTAGTTACATATCATTATGGAATGAAATGTGATAAAACTAAATTCTACACAAGTTGACATTACATAATCAACTCTAAGTTTGGGACCTATTCGCAATCAACACCAGTGTCTTCCTTGCCTTCTATGGATTACCTCTTTAATCAATCAGCACAAAGGTAAAATTCACCTGGCTAAATAATTCTTTACAAGCTTGATCAGTCATCAAAGGTAAATATTGGCCTTGCTCTTTTTGACATCAGTTCCTGTCTTCATGCCCATAATTTTGTTGCAATTCATAATAGTACAGAGAAATACTTAGCCATTATTAAGGATCTATGTACTTGACTTTAAATGTATGCTGAGTCACAAGTGAATTTCCCTACACATCAAAGTACACTAGCCTGCAGTGCACGCAGTTTTGGTGGTTTTCATCTTTCGAGTGTTTAGCCGCCACATTGGATTCACTGCAGACTGGGAGAATTGGGGTGAGAATGCGAGAATGTCGGAGTGGGTGGGGGGATGGGAAAGAAAAACCCTCTTTCCCCTCCCCGTTGCCCAATTTTCCTCTCTCCCTCACACTAGCTTGGTAAACTTTTTACCTCGCCCCAACTCTCCACTGTTTTTCTAATTCAAGATGGCGGCCTGAACAACCGATGGGAATATCCACTTGCCCCGCCAAAATCCGCCTGCACTGCAGGCTAAAGTACACATGAAGACTGCACTCACCCCATCCTGTTCAACACAATATTTGCAGGTCTGGTTACTAAATTTGTGACACTTGTCTGTAACTGAGTGACAAAAAGGATAAAATTATTTTACAGATTTGGCTTACTTTGGAATATACAATGATCGAGAGCTCTAAATTTTATGTACCAAGTACGAGACTCATGCAAATTAACTCAATCTTTTGCTCTCACGCTGAAACTGTTTTTCTCTCATTTGAGACTTCTGATTTAAAATGCTGATTTTTTGTTAGTAAACCGCTACTTTATAAATACCTATAAATAAATAATCCTTTTAAATATAAGTTGCTCTTTGTCACTTTGCAGTTGCTTTGAACACTTCCTATAGTGGAAATTGTGAACAAAATCAAGGAATACATGTCAATTTTTTAGCAATTTCTCAAGGGAGCACGCCATCAATATCCCCCCTTCCCAGAAGGTAATGAATGTAGCACCATAATCCAGAGCCATGTGGTCCAAAAACCCCCTCTTGGCCAGCAAATTAACTTGAGAGCTCTGAATGAATTCTACCAAATCAGCAAAGTTATCATCCTAGCTAACCAAAGACCACCTTGCCCGTGCATGAAACTTCCTTCTTCAAGTCTTATAAGGACCAATCACCAAACAAGCACTGTTCAAAGAAACTCAATAAGCTTCAGAACAATACAGAACAATTTGCCTTTCTACAGAAAAAAACATTTTTTGGCTACCCTGATACCAAATCTCAAATAGCAAAATTTGATTAGCTAATTGATTGGAAAAGAAGGCTATGTACAAGTAGAACTACCCTTGAGTGTTCCAAACAATAACATCACAAATATGACTTTCCAAGGGCTAAGATAATAATATTTTGAGTGGTGACCAACTCTTCGTTGATTCTGACAATCACATCTGCTTCAGTTGTTCACGTGTGTGAATTTTATGCCAATAACAGTCCTTCTGGTGACCTACAAATCCTACATAAATGACTGCATGTTTTGACAGATAATCCCAAATTCAAACAATTCACATCATTGAAGACAAAATGGATAGGTCTGGCTACATGAGACACATGCCTTTTTTGTCCTTTAAACTGTACAAGACATCTTCAGCAGAACTATTTTCAAGGAAGTGTAAACGTACATTCATGAACGTGTAACAGTACAAAAACTTTAAATAACTGGGGTCTTCTAACCAACTCAACCACGATCAAGATCAAACTCTTTCTACTTAAAACAACAAATCTAGAAACAAACTTGAACTCAAGACAGTTGGTGTCGATGAAGAAAGTCCTAACGTGGTCAGAACTTGAAAAAATAAACAAATTTTGAACCCTTTGATATTTGTAGGTGTCATGTAAATGCCTCTTTATATAGACAACTGAAATTATCTGTCATCAACGAGAGTTCTACTCCTCGAGCTTCAGTAACACATGTTTACTTTGTGTGTCATTCCGATATCATCTCGTGTACCATAACCAAATACTACAACGTATGCAACAGCACAATACGGAATGAACTTCAATATTTATTTTTTGAAGGCCTTGATGCTGGTGGACAACTCATTGGCGTATTTATCACGTTTTAATTATAATTTCTGTCCATTATCAAGCTAACAAAAAAATACCAACAGAAGATGGATATTAAACGAGAGAGAACGGAAGGCCACCAGAATTCTTGCTTAGTTCAGTTTCGTAGATCACGTGAAAATCGAGTCGCCATTAAAAGCTTACATAGTGTAGGTAACGGTTGCCGACACATATTCTGTACATCATGCCCTGTTACAGCCGTTTCTGTTTGATTCAAAGCTTCAGCACGAAACCTCACTTCATGACGTGTCAAAGAACATCGCTTTCCGCGTTTCAGATACATCGGAGGTCCATGATCGGACGTGTTTGATATTGAATTCCTCTGCCTTTGAACAATCTACATTCGAACACACGGTAACTTAGTCAACAATTTAACCCACCTTCTGTTTCGTTGGTCCCCAGACATGGTTTAACAAGGCAAAGCTGTATCAAACACACAAATAATAGCACGAAAGCACACGAAACACGATTGTACGGAGGCATAATATCTCAGAGCCTCGAAGTTCGTTCCTCAAAACTAATTTCTACAACGTTAGTTACGAACTCTGGGAAGGATATGACGTCATTACCTTTCATTGTGCTCAGGTTTCGCTCAGGTTATGTTTGACAGCATTTCCTAAATTTTGATTGGCTTGTAGAAATATAATTGGAACGTAGAAGCCACTAAATAATATTGATTTCACCTCTATTTAAAGTAGGCATATATTTGTGATGTCGAACATTTACTGTTACCTAATTCTTCGAGAACTCGACACGAGCTGATACTTAGAGCCCTCGGTTGGAAACAACAGGGGTGGTGTGGTGGAGATGGGGCTTGTGTTCCCGAAATATGATTACAGGATATTTTGCTTTGGCGATTCATTGCCGCTATATCACTCGTTTGGAAAAGTTTAATTAAAAATTCTTTTTCTTTGACACACTTTCTGTTTTGTCTCTGTTCGTTCGTTTGTTGTTTTGTTTTTGTTTTAGCAATTTCTATTCCTCATTTGTCCCGTTTGTGCCGTCGTCGCTGTTTGTTAAAGTTTCTCTTTCTTTCTTTTTTCTATTTCTTCCCATTTTTCCTTAATTCTCACTCATCCCATGACAAGAAGGATATTACACCTGCAAGTCTGCTTATAACACAGTAATATTCTTCCAGAAAAAAAAAAGGCACTTTGGTTACCTCATCGGTAAAGCTTAATCAGCTTTGATTCCTAGTCTTTGAAATATTATTATTAATGTTTATTGAGAAGCTTGAGGAAACCGTTGTGCATCACGAGAAAAGAGTCTACACGGCCCACGAAATAAATTTCTGCCACATTCGACATGCTTGAACGTAACCTTGGAAGCCCGCCGAAAAACCAAGAGAGGTCTGGTACACCATCTCGAGGAATATACTATGCTGAACTTTCCCGTTTCCTGGAAAAATTAACTCAGGACCCACTTTTCCTGAATTTTCTTTCTTTTCATATTTTCTTAAGTAAATTATTTATTGGTTTTGTGTAAGGACTTCACAGGTGTCATATTTTTCAAAAAGAGCCGAAATATTCGAACAACTTGATGGTCACCAAAGAGACTATTTGATGAATATTTAATTGATGAATCACCTGTAATATTGAAATCGCGTTATGAGGCACAAGTTGATTTACTCATATCGAATTCTTCTAAAGAAAGTAAACCTTAACAATAGCTATGTTATGAATATTTTATTCTGAAAAATCGGATTAATTAACAAGGGTGAACTGGGGCAATAATTTCAGGTCGAAGCAGTGGTATCCGAACCCTGAGCGAGGGACTTTCAATTAAGGTAAGAAACTTTAATTTTAAAAAGGTTTTCAAGTATCTAATCAAGCCAACCTTGGTATTTTTACTTGTGGAAAATGATATTTACAATGATCTAATCAAGGAAAAGTCGAGAGAGATCAGAGGACCAGAAATGAAACTGGATAGTTTCGCTCCACATATATGATTTGTGTTTTGTCCTGTCATTACTAAATTGACAAGGTTAACAGAAATGATGTTGGATCGCTAGTCAGATAAGCTTTGCAAAGAAAATTTCCGTAAAAATTGAACAGAACTGTTGATCATTGTTAGTGATGTACTCCTCGACCGCTATTACAATTTATCCGCTTCGAATTTTAAAGGACGTCTGTTAGACCACTATCAGTGCATTTTGGAGAAAGTGTCGCTTCACTTTTTCATGTTCCAGTTACGGTGAAATCCGTGTTACTTTACATCCTCCACTCTTGTCATCCTTTTTTATGCTCGTTCAACTTTCCACTTCGGAATGATGTAGATCACTCTGTAGTGGACGGCGTCATGTCTATGTTCCAAGGGATCAGACGAGCCGCTAACAGCATGTAGCGAACCATCCCGAAAGAAATATAGATGTTTTCAAGTTATTCATATTGACTTGCGTACAAACTGTCTCTCAAATATCGGTACGCCCAGGAAAATATCTATCGTTGGAAAAGATACGAGAAGATGAAAGAACTTACCTTCAACGAAACTTGATCAATTCCATCTTGTTATGCGTTGCGCTTGAGCGAAACATCCGCCATAAGATGAAATACTAAAAAGTTTGGCATGAAAATCGAATTTAGCCCCTTCAAATATAAAAGCCAAACCAACAAAAAAGAAGATTATCAACTTGATAGCATCTCTAAAAATTTCGTAGAGGTGTTATTTGTGTATTTTTCTCTTGTTTGAGAGGAAGTAGTGGAATAGTTTTCCGAGAAAATGATACTAACCACGTGACATGTCGCGTTGACCAACTTCCTTAATTTCTAGGAAAGACATTTTTCTGTTCCTAGAAATCGTTCTAAACGCAAATTGCTCTCATTTCGCTGAAAGAAAACGAGGGGAAAGATGGATTTTATTGTAAAGACGATGAGGTACGTAGTGAATAGCTAAAATTAAGTAATTTATTTGAATTTATGCCTACGAAGCAATTAATTACGAACGAAATCAAGAAGGTGGGAAGTCAGTTAATTAACTCTATATTCCTTTGCTGGTCATCTGTTTGCGAAACAAGCAGCAATTATTCAGCTAAAAGTTATAATTTTGGTCTGTTATTAAAAGCATCAACGCTGGGAAAACTATGGTGATATTGTATCCCGAAACAGTTTTTTAGCAGCCGTAATTTCGCAAGGCATGGGCAAAATACATTTGTTTTGCAAATCTTTACTTCAGGGAGGTTTCGAATTGTTCTTCTTTACTAACAGTTGTATTTCGCATGAAAAGCGTAATTCTCTGAGATTTGTCTTAAAGATATGACGGACTATTTATTACTGAAGCTCAGCCGATAATGAACCCCGAAACAGTTACGTGGCAGAAGTATTCGCTAGGAATTTGACAACGAAATACATGGGCAAAATACATTTGTTTTGCAAATCTTTACTTCAGGGAGGTTTCGAATTGTTGTTCTTTACTAACAGTTGTATTTCGCACGAAAAGCGTAATTCACTGAGATTTGTCTTAAAGATATGACGGACTATTCATTACTGAAGCTCAGCCGATAATGAACCCCGAAACAGTTATGTAGCAGAAGTATTCACTAGGAATTTAATTGACAACGAAATACATGGGCAAAATGCATTTATGTTGCAACATTTATTCTGAGGAGGTTTCAAAATATTCTTCCTTACCAACAGTTTTATTTCGCATAAAATACACAATTCACCGGAATTTGCTTTAAAGATATACTGACTATCCATCAGTGAAGCTCAGCTGACGTGAATCCCAAAACTGTTACGTAGCAGCAGTATTTGCGCGGAATTTAACAACGAAATGCATAGGGAAAGTACATTTATGTTGCAATTTTTACATCATGGAGGTTTCAGAATATTCGTCTTTACCAGCGTTTGTATTTCGCATTAAATTAAAGCATAATTCACCACGATTTGCCTTTGCGATATTACTCACTATCCGTCAGTGAAGTAACGGCAGCAACGCTAATCAATAATTAAAACATATTCCTTTTGAATCACTAGATCCAAAATTCTTCCATAAGCCGTTCTTTAAAAACCAGGGAAACGGATCATTAGCCATGGGTGAGTAAAAAATTTAATTTTCTGTTTTCCTAGTAGTTAAATACCTTAAGTTTGTTAAAACCACCGAAGATTTACATTCTTCTATATTTAAACCCTTACAAACTGAAATAACCTATTTGTGAAGGTGGCTGATTCGTGAATTATCTTGCAACAAATAAGCCAGTAAGAATATTAAGATCACAGCACACACTAACAAGATAGTAGAGATATAAGTATAAAAGGAAGCAGTTGAGATACTGTTAGGCGGTGTAAATAGACAAGCAACACTGACAGGGAGTGTAGGCAGACAAGCAACATTGGCTGGCACCACTATAAGTACATAAAAAGACAAGTAACAGGTAGTGTGGACAAACATGCAACACACTCAGGCAGTGTTGACAGAAGAGTCATATTGGCAGGCAGTAAAAACAGACAAGAAACACAGAGATGCAGTGTTGACTGACAAGCCACAAAGTAAGGAAGAAAATTGAGACAGACAAGCAACACTAAGTAGGCAAGGAAGACAAGCATAAGCAACACAGAAAGGTAATGTAAGACACAGGCAACACTGGTAGACGGCAGCGTTGATTATATATTGCAGAGGTGTGGCTAGTTACAAAGACAGTGTTGCCAATTGATATAGGGCCTTTAATCTGAGCATCAGGCAAAAATTGCAGGGGAAATTAAAGATTATAGATAATAGATAATAAGCAGGGCAAACAAGACACACACAAATAGGAAGTGGACTAGCAGAAAATCTGTACATACAGATAGTAATGTTACTTAACATACAGTGTAATCACTGTTATATACAGAGGAGAGAGAGACTGTTTGACAGTAAAAGACAAAGTCAGGTGGTGGTGGCAGTTGTGAGTAAAAAGATTTTATCCAGCAATGGGAAGGGTTAAACAAATCACTGCATGGGCATGCATGCATATCCACAAAGTTATGTTTTGCTAAAGGATACAGCAAGGAAGCAACTATTGGTAAATGAAATGCTCAGTGGGTCAGGTACACAGCAATACATCAATGATTATTAAGATGTTAGACATGATGATGATGCAAGGAGATGCTATTAGTTAGATCATGCTTAGATGCCAGGAGTTAGACATCTTTTTTCTTGATTCACTGAATTATTTAATAGGTGAAAATGATGCATGAGTTTACTCGATAGTGCTGATGATATCATTTTTCTTATTTATTTAGCAGACCGTGATGATGATGGATTTGATTTAATCAGGCCATCTTTGATCCAGCAGTTGAGAACAATCCTAGATCAGTATCCAGATGATGGGCAGATATTGAAGGTAAGATGAGACAATGACTAGCAAGTCCTCTGAAAAGTGGAATGGGGGAAGGGGGTTGCTCAGGTGTGGGTTAGGGTCACTTTAATACACCCCTTCCTCTCAGTAGGTGTTGTGTGAAGGTTAAGTGAGCAGTTGTGAATCCAAATATCTTTCCTGGCTTATTTTACATCTTGAAATATGTTTTGTTGTATCAGGAACTCATCCAAAATGCAGAGGATGCACATGCAAGTCATGTAAAATTCCTCCACGACAAACACAGCTATGGCACAACCAAACTTCATCACCAGGGTCTTGCTCAATTTCAGGTACGTTATTTTTCGATGTGCAAGCTTGAAACTCGTTTTACTTATTCTCACTCCCTTTTTTAGGCCGGAAAGTGTAGACAAGGCTTTTAATTTACTCATTTCAGCATTTATTTGAAGTTGAAAGCTCCATATAGATTTTTATTGTTTGTTATGTGACAGGGCCCAGCTCTTTACGCATTTAATGATGCTCAGTTTACAAAAGAGGACTGGAAGGGCATACGGATGTTGTGCGATAGTTTTAAAGTCAAAGACCCATTAAAAGTTGGCCGTTTTGGTCTTGGCTTTAAGTCTGTTTTTCATATGACAGGTGAGTCTCTTGGTATGTTCTCAGACCCTGACGTGAATTTTTCCAAGGCGTTCTTTGTTTATGTTAATCTTTTGACAAAAACAACGTAACAGAGCTTTTATTTTTACTTTTTTTTGCGGAGATTGACGACTTTGTGCGTTTCGCGAGAACAAACTTTTCATGTTCGAGGTGACTGCAAAAATTTCTACTGGGAACTTATTTCTGAATTTTTTTGTCACAGCAGTATTTCAAAACAGGGAATAAATCTTGAAATTGTGCAATTTTCTTTCTTTTAGCGTTACATTTAGGGGAACTACACGAAATAATATTCGTAGATGAATACTTTAAACTAATCCTTCAAAAGAGTTTGAATTTATAGAATTATATTTTCTTAGTATTTCAGTATTTAATTACATATTTTACACTCATTTCATGTGAGCCCCTTGCTTTGGAGTCTAAGCGATCACTCCTTACGTTTTTACCAAAATAAAAAGGTTAACAAAAGTTACCAGTTCAAAAGTCTTTTCGAATGTTAAGAATTCAAGATTCACACGAGAAGCGTACCATTGAACTTAGGCAGTACTTTTTTGCGGCGCTTTAAATTTTGGGATTTGTTCATTCTTTGCTGATCGATAGTAAGCCGAAAATTCGCTGAAGTGGAAATTGGAGAAATTTTCCTACTCGAAGGTAACATCATGCAAGTGCTATCCTTGCATTGTACAGATAACACCTTTACGTAATCCTATTTGTCTCTGCCAGCTATTGTGAAAAGCAAAAATTTTTTACCAATATTGCAAGGATGTGTTCAAATGTTGAAAAGTGACAAAACTATTTGTTTCGTTTTCAGACCTACCAAGTATCGTCAGTGGTTGACAGATCGGAGTGATTGATCCGCACGAAGAGTACTTCAGCGACGAAAGGGGCAAACGAACCGGGCACAGGTGGCTATTGAAAGAAGAGCGAAACCTCATAGAAAGCATACCAGACCAGTTTGAGCCATACAAAGGGATACTCGATTGTACAGAAGACACGTTTAAACAGGGATCCTATGATGGAACACTGTTTCGTTTCCCTTTAAGAACCAATCGATCTAAGCTATCGCAGACGTTATACACTACCCAAAAGGTGCACACGTTATTTGAAAGTTTTGAAGCAGATGCTCATTTGATCCTTCTCTTTCTTCAGTATCTGGAATCCATTGAACTTTTTGTTCGAGAGGAAACGGATAGTGACGCTAGGAAAACTTTTCAAGTCCAAATCGCTAACGAGACCCTCCAATTGGTGAGAGAAAAGAGGAGCGAGTTTCGATGGAAGATCTCATCAGGTGATCTATTGCCGGAAGCCGTCAGGGTAACTTATCCGATCACCATTGAAGCAATTTCTTTCTCTCAAGGCATACAAAGTGCGCCAGAGCGACATTCGTTTTTAGTTAGCAACTACTTCTGTGGAGGAGAAATTTCGTCAGAATTTAAAGCCTTGACTTCGGATCAAGATCTTAGCTATCTGCCTTTAGTAGGTGTCGCCATGGCGATACCAGAACGGGAGAATGCAACACAAAACATCAAAGGCCACGTGTTTTGTTTCTTACCACTACCAGTACAAAAGACAAGTTTGACAGGATTGCCAGTGCATATCAATGGCTTCTTTGCTTTGAGTCAGAACAGGCGCTACATTAAGACGCCTACGGCTGAACAGGAAGATCTGGCTGAGAAGGAAGACCAGCCCCTGACTGACAAGTCATTGTTATGGAACCAGTGTCTTCTGCAAGAGGCCATTCCTAAAGCTTATGCGTCAATGCTGCTGGATGCCATGGACAAGCAGAAATACAGTGTGCAAAGCGAGGCCGTGTACACGTAAGAATTAACTAATGACTTGTCTGCCCTTATGGCTTATTTACTTCTAAATGTTGCTAAGCGCTCAAGAAGATGATTTGATGAAAACTGTTGAAATTGATTGGGACATGCATTCGGTTTCCTTTAGGACGAATTGTATCTCTTTTGTTGACAAGAGATCTGATAATCTCATGCTTAAGCAGTTTATTGATTTAAAAGTCCTTCTTTAGCTTAAAGAATTTCGATAATCTATTTCTTCTTTGAATAGAGCATGGCCTGATACAGCCGATATTGATCAGAAATGGAAAAGAGTAGAGAAACCCCTATTTGAGTTGCTACTTGACAAGAGCGTCATCTATACTCCGGCTCAAGGAGGAAAGTGGCTAAAGGTGCAAGACGTAATCGTTGAAAAACTTGCAGAAAGCGATCCTAAGGAACTTCTGGTGAACGTTTTCCTCGCAGCGAATAAAAACGTCGCCAGTTTACCCGACCACGTTTTAAAAGCCATTTGCTTGTACTCAACTTTGAGTGCAGAAGTAACGCCCTCGTTGACGCGAAGAGTCCTCCAGGTTGTTCCCTCTTGCTATTTAAACCTGAAATGGTTAGAAAAGCTCTTGCTGCTGAAATTTGTCCTCAAAGACGGTTGCTTTTCTGAGCTTCTCGGATTGGAGCTGTTACCGATTTCCAACGAGCAGTTTGCGTCTTTTTCCAACATGGGCGAGGCTGTCTACATTTCTTCATCAACACATCCCCGTGAACTTTTACCATGTCCAAAACTACAATTCTTAGATGAGAACATCGACCAAGAATTGTCACGAAACCTGGATGCAGTCGCAAATCAAGGTATGCAAACTGACAGTAGTTATTGAAATAAGCTGGTTAAATACCTCTGAAAAAGATATTAGGATAAATCCCCCTAGTTTACAACAACTAGAACCTTGAATTGCACACTGCCAAATTCCTTAAGGTCATCGTTTTTCGCTCGTTGAAGAATTCGAGATAATGGGGAATATATAAGATGCTTTTCTGGCATCTTGTTACCAATTCCTCCTCAAGGCATGGTGTACGCGTTGTTTGGCGGAGTAGCGAGGATTTCGCTTGTATTGAGGAAGCCACTTTTGTGATTTTATGAAAGACCAATGAAGGTATTATTTTTACTATAATGATAGAAATAACAGCGTTCTATTTGGGAAATAAAAGCAAAAATGTCCGTGCTTTCAGGATTTTATGTTATTCCTCTGAATAAGAGATCACAGTTATTTTACCTGTGATCTTTATGATTTTTTATGGTTACCTGTATTTATGTGAGACCTCTTGTTATAACCACACCGTACAGGTAGTATGTAAACTTTACACTTCTAGGAGGAAACTAAGATTTGCTAAAGAGACCCGTCACTTTCTGTATAGGATGCACTCAATTACGGCATTTCACTAAAGATGACGTTGCTAAACTTCTCCCGACGTCACTACCACCTGGTTGGTCTGACGAACAAAACGTTTTGTGGTATCCCGGGGTCGGAAGTCATCCGTCCAAAGACTGGCTTGGAAATTTGTGGGCCTACCTGGGAAAAAGCTTTTCATCAGTAGACGAGCTTTGCAGACTTCAAGGCCTGCCACTACTTCCACTAGATTTGACGAAAGCTCCGATTATCCTCGTGAGACTTAAAGTGCAAGCTGATGTTGTCGTAAGAAGCCTTCATGGGGATTCTTTAGAAGACACTGTAGTCAGAGCTTTGCAAGAACTTGGTGTTACAGTAATGCAAGAGTATCCAGGGTTCCTTACTCGGCACCCTGCCGTTGTGGGAACGTTTGTTCATCCGCCATCAACTCTCAGCGTATTGAAAGCCGTGACAGCTGTCCTTTCCTTAAAGCCTACTGCCATCCAAACCATATCAGACAATGGTAAACGATTTTTCAGGAGATTTGTAGCCAAAGCCTCTTCGCTCAGTCCAGACGTGATAAAAGTCTTGAGTTGTTTTCCGCTTTTTGAGACTTTGTGCGGAGCATTTGTTTCCAAAGGCGATGGCATTTGTGCTGCGCCTGACGAAGCGTTTCCAGTAAAGACCTTCAGGGATCTTATCGACGTCAGAGATAATGACGCTAAGAGATTTGCAGGTTTGTTAGGCATCAAAATCTTGACACGTTGTGAGGTTTTGCTTGAGTTGATATTTCCGGATGTGGTAGGTAAACGTTACTCTACAGAAGAAATTGACAGATTGATGGAATTCGTGATGGATCGATATCACGTTTACACTGCAGAGGACGCAAGTTTTCAGCATCGGTTAAAAGACCTACCCTTTGTCTCAACAAAAACTGACAGAGTAAGACCTAAGGAGGTATTTGATCCCAGAAACGAATTCCTAAAAGGAATGTTTGCGGAAGAAGATGTGTTTCCCGTGGGAAAGTATAATCACCCGAGAGCTCTAGTAGTTTTAGAATACCTCGGCATGAAAGGCGAAGGAGAAATCACAGGGCAAGATTTGTACGAAAGCGCAAAAGCAGTGAATAACATATCTGACTTTTCTGTAGCGGAAATGAAGTCAACAGCGATCATGTCATTCCTAACTAGCAATCCGACAAAACTTGAAGAGATCGTCTCTGGAACTTCAGGATCAGGAAAGCTCGGCATGCATCTCAAAAGTATTCCATGGGTGTCTGTGATCAGGCAAAAACCCCATGACTACCCCGAAAGTCTTCCGTTCTGGGGAGAAACGTACACAGAGAGTTATTTCCTGAAGCCTTCAGATGTCAAGTACAAACAAGCAACAAACATCATTGGATCGGTAAAACCTCTTGTCAAAGCGGAGTCATCAACCCAATTAACCCGTTTCTTTTCATGGAACTCAGACCCGGCTGTTTTGGACGTCGTGCAGCACTTGCAGAATGTAATACGTTGCTACAGCTCACAAGAGAAGCCGCATTATATTATCATCGCCCGAGAAATGTACGCCTTTCTCAGTCGTGCAGATCATAACGAAGTATTTGCTGCTTTGGAGAATGTCAAAAACCTTCAGTGGATTTGGAACGGAGATGGATTTTCTTCCCCTAGATACTTGCTATCTCAGAAACCTCCGATTGATTTGTCACCATATATTTGTTCCCTTCCCTCAGAGGTGACAGAATTCTACAGGCTGTTTGCAAACTTTGGCTTACTAGAGAAGTGTGATGACGCATTCTTGTTAGATGTTCTTCATCTAATAAAAGAGAAGTACGACAACCACCCTCCGCCTTCTATGGCAGAAGTACGGAAGGACCTTCAGTTGTCTGTGGACATTTTGAATGAAATTAAGCCAAACGTTGGAGAACGGTTGCTGCCAGAACATCAGGAAAAGGTGCTCATTCCGACACATGTGGAAGGCGATGCGTATGTTAAGCTTGCACCAGTTGAGAAATGCATGTACTGCGAGCATGAGTGGCTAGAAAGAGGCAGCCAAGATGGAGAAGAAGATGAAGAGATGGATTACTTTTATGTACATCCAAACATTCCAAACAGCACGGCTGAACTTTTGCACGTTCCAACGTTGATGAATCGAATGTTGGAGCCAGACGAGCTGGATATTGGAGAGGAATTCGGACAAGAAGAAAAACTTACCCGTAGACTAAGCAGACTTTTGGAGGACTACACTGATGGTTTTGCAGTACCCAAAGAGCTTGTCCAAAACGCAGACGATGCAGGCGCCACTGAAGTGAGATTTCTATATGACGAACGAACGAACCAGGATGCCATGACCTGTCTGATTGACGAGGAAATGAAGCATTGTCAGGGTCCTGCTCTCTGGGTTTACAACGATGCCGAATTCAGAGACGAGGATTTCAAAAACATCACAAAATTAAATGGTGCTACAAAGGAACAAGAAACTGAGAAAATTGGAAAGTTTGGACTTGGTTTCAACGCAGTCTACAATCTGACAGATGTTCCGATGTTTTTGAGCACAAATTATATTGTTATTTTCGACCCGAACACGTTCTATCTTGGAAAGGCACTTAGAAACAAGAACAAACCTGGAATAAAGATAAATATCAACAAAAACACAAAGAGACTTCGGAATCTCAGCAATCAGTTTAAACCGTTTAATGGAATATTTGATTGCGATCTTCACCTGGGTAAGGACGACTACTCGTACCCTGGAACTTTGTTTCGTTTTCCATTACGAACTAGAGAGCAAGCCACGAAAAGTGAAATCAAGCAACTTCATTACGACGACAAACAAATGAAAGGCCTCCTAAAGCTTTTCGCCTCTGGTGCTAAGACCCTTCTTCTCTTCACACAAAATGTGGTCCGGGTCAGCATTTATCATCTACCCAAAGACTCGAACCATTCTCGTCCACCTTCGCTCCTGTTTGAAGTTAGCAAGTCATTGTGTAGAGAAGGTATCCTAAGAGAATTAGCCTTTCCAGTTTCATTATCCCAAGCTGCAAAGAAACGTAACAAGGAAGAACGTTATTTTTTGCAACAGTGTAATTTTTTGCAAGCATCATCTGTAGTTGCAAAGAAGGTAGGAGATGTTGATAGCTCGATGCCTGATCTTCTTAATTCTGCGCTTACAATTAACATTAAGAGCACCACTACAGAGTGCGGAAAAGTGTTTGTGGAAGCCGAGGCCTGCAAGCCAGATGAGTCTCAGATTTGGCTTGTTGTATCTTCCATGGGCAAAGGACACGCAATGCAGTTTAAAAAGGATGACAAGAGTCTACTTCCATCAGCGGGAGTGGCTGCGAGATTGACTTTCGATGATTTTGGAAAACTCTTACCAGTACCTGTTGTTGATCAAGTCTCAACGGGTGTGCAACATCCTGTAGGAAGACTTTTCTGCTACCTCCCGCTTCCAATAAAAAGTGGGTTTCCAGTTCATGTGAACGGGGCGTTTGCAGTGGCTTCCAGCAGGCGAGGCTTGAAGGAGAAGACAGCAGACGACAAAGATTTCATTGGAGTCGAGTGGAACAAAAGTCTCATGCAAGACTCCGTATGTAAAGCTTATCTAGACCTTCTCGAGGACGTCAAGAGTTTAGCTTCTGACAAGTACCAGTTTTATTCACTATGGCCTAGAGCGTGTGAGCTAGAGCAAAACTGCGAGCCCCTTGCGCGCTCGTTCTACCAAAGTTTGGTAAGTGGAGGGTACTCTCTCTTTTCTAATGGAAGCCAATGGGTGAACATTAATCACGTGGTATTTCTGGAGCCAAACTTTCGGCATGATCCAAAAATCGGAGAGCTGTCTTTTGAAGTTTTGAAGTTTTTTAAGAAAGAGGATGCAGTCATCATTGACCTTCCAGCTGAGATCTATCAGTCATTTGTCAGCTATGATCTCGTGACCACAATCCAGGAGAAAAACTACGACAAGAGTAAATTCTTCCGGGAGTTATTTTTTCCAAACATTACTTTGATTCCATCACACCTGCGAGACCACCTGGTATTGTACACACTTGATGACAAAAATGGAGAGTTTGACGATCTCATTAAGACATACGCTTGTATTCCAGCCTCACCAAATGGTCGAAGACTTAAGCGTCCTGCCCAACTCATTAACCCGACTAAGTTAGCTGCCTCTCTGTTTAGCCCGGAAGACGAAATGTTTCCATGTGGAACAAGAGATACCTTCCAGAACAGTTTACGACTTGCCAAACTTGAGCAACTTGGAATGTTAACAAATGACCTCCCTTGGCCACTGCTTGCAGGAAGAGCGCAGAGTATCAGCCTTTTGAGTGGTCATTGTGGTGATTCAGCGTTAAAGCGTACAAAAGTTTTCATAGATCATCTAGAAAGAAAGTTGCTGCATGATGATGAGCATCCTGCTTCCTTTGAATTTCGAGAGGAGATTTTACACGCCAGATTTTTGCCAGTGCTTCAGAGGCCAGAGAAGTTTCCACTCCCTTGGAAAGCAGATGACTTTGATTTTAATGATGGCATAGTATTCATGTCTCCCACAGAGTCCTTTCCTAAAAGGGAAAAGAATCTAGTCTGCTGCACTGAGCCAATACTTGATTTACACTTGCCAACCACTGTTCAAGCGTTCCTGCAGTTGGACAGGAAACAGGCTACAATAGACCATGTTAAAATGCAACTTAACAATGCCACGTCTGTTAGCACACAGAATTTGGACCACTCTGAGGTCAAGAGCATAAAAGATGTTTGCGAGGCAGCGTACAGGTATCTCGGGGAAGCTCTTTTTAACAAGCGCATCACGGAGGAGGAAGTAAAAGGGCTGTTTAGCGGGAAAAAGTTTATTCTCATTGACGGAGAATTTGTCCTAACGGAGAAAGTGGCTTTCGAGCTGAATTTCGATTGTTCTCCATATCTTCGCCAGCTTCCGGATGATTTAGCAAAACGTTTTGAAGGGTTGATGAAAACTGCAGGAGTAAAGGCTGCCTTCAGTGCCAACGACTTCAGAGTTTCTTTGAATCAAATAAAGTGCAAATTTGGGGAGGAAAAACTCGATCAGAAGAATGTTCGAGTGGCAGTTAACTTTGCTGTTCAACTGGGAAATATTTTAAAGAGTCGTAGTACAAAAGATGTTGGAGATGAAGGAGAACAAGAAACCTGCTATCTACCAGATTCCATGGGAGTGATGAGACCTGTTGGCGATCTCTGTATGGGAGACTGCGACTGGATACCCGACGAAAGTGGTGTACTTCTTGTCAATGAAATGATTCCCTTTCCAGTAAGTGCTCAGCTTGGTGTCAAGACCCGTCGCGAGGAAACTCTACATCGTTTTTCAACTGGGATTCCTTTTGGACAAAGCGAACGACTTGAAAATCGTTTAAGGCGGATTCTTACAGCGTATCCTTGTGAGAAAGAAATACTGAAAGAACTTCTTCAGAATGCCGATGATGCTCAAGCAACAGAGATTTGCTTTATCAGCGACCCTCGACAACACTTGGACGAAAAAGTATTTGGGGACTCCTGGAAACTGCTCCAGGGTCCTGCGTTGTGTGTGTACAACAACCGACCATTTACGGAGGCTGACATTGTAGGAATACAAAATCTCGGCGAAGGCAGTAAAGGAGACGATCCCAACAAAACCGGCCAGTATGGTGTTGGTTTCAATGCTGTGTACCACCTCACGGACGTACCGTCGTTCGTCTCTAGTAGCGAGGAGATAGGAGACGTCTTGTGCGTATTTGATCCCCATTACAAATATGTACCAGGTGCAACTCAATGGAAACCAGGAAGGATGTTCAGAGGAGTGGAAAAGCTCAGAAAAGTATTTCCAGACGTTTTCTGTTGCTACGACCAGAAAGAGTGTCCCGTGCAGAATTCGACAATGTTTCGCTTTCCATTACGAACAGAAGAGATGGCGAATAGCTCTAGGATATCGAAGACCCCAGTAACACCCGATGTCCTAGACGAAATGATGAAAGCACTAAAAGAAGAACTGTTCGAGGTTCTGATCTTTGTGAACAACGTAAGGAAGATCACCTTGTGCGACATAGACCCTACAACAGGAGAAAGAATAAACATCTACTCCGTTGCAGCAGAAATGTCGGAGGAGGATGAAACGAAAAGGCACGAGTTTGCCACTTTTATCAAGAATATTAGAAAATCAGTTGACCGACCAAGCAACCTTTACCCATATGACATCGAGGTTAGAAAGTGTTCATATGTTCTGAATCTACAAGACAACCGTGGCAACCAAGAAAAGTGGCTTGTTGCTCAGCAAGTTGGATTTGAGAAACAGGTACAACCAAGCATAACAGATGCTTACAGAAGGGGGGATCTGGGAATGCTGCCTCGTGGTGGAGTTGCTTGCCTTTTGGAAAGAAGTTCTACGGTTGATGAGCCTGCAAATAAGGCGAAGAAAGCTTATTGTTTCCTTCCACTTCCTCTCGAGACTACTCTCCCATTACACATCAATGGACACTTTGCATTGGACCATGAGTCAAGACGAAATTTGTGGAGAGACGAAGCTAGTGGTTATCGCACTGACTGGAACAATGCTCTGCTTGAAGACGTGATTACATCATGTTACCTGACGCTTCTGGATGAAGTCAGGAGTTTTTATCATTTTCCAATCTCTCCCACTTCGGCACAAAGTAAACTCCATTCCAACAACGATACTTTGTTTTCAAAGATTTTTGAGTACGAAAAGCTTTTCCCTTTGGTTATTTCAGAAAAAACCTACTGGGCGACCTTACAAAGATCCGTTTATCGAGAGATGAACGAAAAGAGATTAAAACTCCTCCCAGTGATGAGAGGTGGCAGATCAGAAAGGAGTGATGAGGAGACTCAACTTTTTTGGCTCCCTCCAACAGGCGAGGGGAAAGAAAAGGCATTTTTCAATAATCTAGGAGTAAACGATTGTTTCGCTAGAAAACTGAGACGTTACCCTCTTGAAGGCGACCTGGAAAAAGAGGAGAAGCGAAGAAAGGAAAAGATAAGGAGGTTAGAAGACATCGTACTACAAACGGGCTTTAATCTTGAGAAGTTCTCGCTCTCTGTGTATGAGGCATTAAAATCATCTGGCGTGGAATCGCACTGTATCTCACCCTCTGCAATAATGGCGTTCTACAAGACCTTTAATGATGATAATCCGCTCTGCTGTGTTGGACCCATGGCTGTTGATATTGAAAATACGCCGTTCCAGAAGGTTGAAGACACATTGCTCGTTTTGAAGTACTGTAAGGATGACGAGAACTTCCTGGAAAACCTACCAGGACTGCCTTTACTCGTAACACAGAACAATCACCTACACACTTTCAGTTCGAATGATCCTAAGTATCTATCGCGTCATCATGGTATCTTACCGCAGTGCAGTGAGATGTTTGTCCACGATGACGTTAGATTTCACATCTTTAAAGAAGAAAAGAGTCACGAGTCACCTGTGTTTAAACGTTTTGGAGTGGAAGATTTTGCCACACTTTTGCATCGAGCCCTACCACGACAGTATTCCACCAGCAATGGCTTCGTTGCATGGTGTCCAACACAGGAATCAGTACCTAATAGGCAATGGGTGGGAGCAGTTTGGAAGTTTCTGTGGGAAGAAACTAAATGTATCAGTGAAGAAAGGAATAATCCTTCCCGAGAAGAGAAAAAAAGAATGAACAGAATTCTACAACCACTGTCAAATTGGAATATCCTTCCATGTACTCAAACGATCCACATGGCACCATCGGCCAAAACAGAACACTTCCTTGTGCCCCTTAATCTGGCAGAGGCTGTACTTGATTTTGCAGGTGCCAGTATCGATATCAATATCTCCAGACTTGTTGAGACTTTTAGAAAGCTCAGCCTAGCCGAGTTGAACTACCATTTCTTGCCTTACGACTCCTAGTTCCTTGCACGCATGCTTGTAGCAAACCTTACGACACCAGAATCTCTTCTTAAATCCTTGGAGCTTAAAATGGCAACGAACCCCATTGCTATTTAAGGCAAATTGACGAAAATGGAATGTGTCGACGTTTTGGAGTACTTCAGTCGTAACGTGGAAAAGCTGCAGAAACACAGCAAGCTTGCGCTAAGAAAACTTCCATTCTATCAAGCTACACATGGGGAACTCATAAGTATTAGCTGTGAAACCATCTGCGTCCTACCGTTTGATATCCCACGCGAAGAAATGGAGGAGCTAGGACGTCGATTAAACGTGGTTTTTCTCGAGGAGTGGCCACAACTACTTCCACTGTTCAAATTTCTTGAATTCCAATGTGTATCCGCGGTTGACGTCTATTGTCAATTCATCTTGCAGTACTTGGCATTTTTTAGCAGTACGGCCAGATTTACTCATCTTAAGCATATCCGTGACGTCATTTTTCCCGGACTATCAGAGGGAGACAAAAGTGATAAGGAGAGGCTACTCAGCTGTTTGAGTAAAACAGCCATCATTCTCCATAAAGATGGAAGTTTGAAGAGGGCGTCCTTTTACTACGAACCTGAACATGAAGTTTTCAGCGCACTGCTTGCTGAACATATGTTTCCACCCGCGCCATTCAACACGCCCGAATGGCTGCGGTTTTTGAAGAAACTTGGGCTAATCTGTGAGGTTTCTACAGATCTGTTTCTGAAGTTTGCAATTGAAGTTCAAGAGGAAGGTGCGACACAGAGTAATGGTCAAACTTACAAAAAGTCCAAGGTACTAGTGAAACACCTGTTCTGTCGAAAGAATGTTGTTGAGGAAGGGGTTTTGCACGCCGTTCGTCATATCCAGTTTATAGCAACAGATCCAGTGCGCGCGGAATTACGAGCAATTCATCCTCAATTCGGTGTAGGAAGGGATGGCCAAACTCCCTACATTGCATTTAAGGGTTCTGTGCTACCAGACCACCCTATGGTAGCATGGACAACGGCATCAATCCTTCCGCAATGGGCAAATCCAAGAAAATACAAGTGCTTGATGGACACCAAGGGTTGGAAAAGCGAGCGAGACCTCTGTAATGCCGTCATCTCCCATCTCCAGGTTCGCACAGAGCCGACCATGGACCAAGTTGTTTTTCACTGCCAAAATGTATGCTTTCAACTGGTAAAGGAGAACGATATGGAAACCAATGTAAGTCAGAAGGTGACCAGAACATCAGTGATGTCGAACATCTACAACTTTTTGCAGAAAAACGCCCCCTTAAGTACTGTCGCGAGAGAAAGACTTGCTCAGACACCCTGTATTTTGGTGCAAGAAGGTCAACGTTTTGTTTTTTCTAAGCAAGTGGTTATCGAGTTGTATGAGACCCTTGAAATCAAGCCATTTCTTTATAGAATGCCAAACGAATTAAGTATCTTTTCGAAACTCTTTGTACACCTGGGTTGTTCTCCATCTATCATACCCTCCAACTATGTCATGGTGTTAGACATGTTACACGAGCAATGTGGAGACAAAATCCTTCATGTAAACGAGATTAACTGCGCTTTGAGGGCGGTTAAAGGTCTAATAGAAACATTACAAGACTCACCTGAAGCTGCTCAGGATATTTCGTCGTTGTACCTCCCCGCTACCTATTCATACAGTGCTTGTTTGGATGACAGCAAAGGGAGACTTGATGTAGTATTAATGAGGGCCACCGAGCTGATCTTTGAGAACACTCGCCTCTATGGTGATCGTATCACAAGCTTCAGCGCACCTTTTGTGGTCGACCTTGACAGAGCCAAAGTAAGGTGCCAAGGAAACGCAAACTACGAGGACTTGATCATGCTTCTTCCCATCAAAGTCCGACCACAAATGATGTCATGCGTAATTGAAGAAAAGTTCTTGGATTCTAATGATAACGCCAAAGGTTTTGACATAGGTGCGGCTAGTTCGTTAAGGAAACAGCTCCATTCAGAGCAGTTCTATCGCGGAATTGTGAGACTTCTTCGCCACGCCAATCGAGGTGATAGTCTAGATCAAGATTTGGTCTTAACTGTTAAAGACAGTTTGAAAAGAATTGAATTCCTTGGAATGCCAAGAATCGTGACTCATCTGGTTCATGACGGAATCCCGATCCAAGGCAGTGAACGCGAAGTTCCTTACTTTTTGGAGAAGGTTTTAGACGCCGGTCAACAGTTTTGGAAAGTGTATCTTGACGCAGCAGGCGACATCGAAGACACCATGTCAAGGATATCCCTAACGTTGTCAGAGGTGATTGCAGAATCGTGTAAAGGGCTCTTGCGAGGAGCTACCATGTATATCCCAGTGATGCTGAGCACCCAGCCTGGTAAAATTATGTCTTTATTAGACAGCATGAACATTCGACAAGACGATTCGAACGACAGAGAGGGGGGATCTGTTTTTCCAGAACCAGGAAGCTTCATACCTATAGCAGAACACAACCTTTTAAATCCAGCGTTCAAGTCCTTCGAGTCTGGGGAATATGTCGGATGCGAACTGGATGATCCAAGTCTTCATCTTGAAGAAGGGGACGCTATTTTCATTTATGCTATGATAATCGATGAAGTCTCTGTTGACAACATCAGCTTGTTTGAGAAGTGCTACCGGATAAACATTGGACATGAAAAAGAACCAAAAGTTGCCCGCGCCACTGAGCTCTATAAATTTTACCGTCTTAAAGAGATAGCATCCTCGGCTACTGTCCTCTCTGATCAGCAAGGAAGCTCTCGCATTTCCTCAGATAAACAGGAGATATTTGACGACATCTCGAGAACTCTTGAAGACACATGGATGCTACCAGAGGCCATCAGAAGACAAGTAGTCAAGAGACTCATTTTGCAGTGGCATCCAGATAAGAATCCAGGAAACGAAGTCTTTTGCACGGAGGTTTTCCAGCATATAAAAATTGAAATTGAACGATTAGAAAGAGAAGAACTGCGCAGACGCAGTGGGACCGGAAGTCCTTATGGATCCTACGGTGCGTATTTTAGCTTCTGGGGGGTGCGTGCAAGGCGCTATAATTCACAGCGCCAGGAGTACAGAGAGAACTTCACTCGACACTATGGGTCATGGAGCCACAGATCACGGTCATGGGAAGTTCCTCCTAGCTTCTGTACCACTAATCCCCAACCTGCGCAGGCACGACGCTGGTTCAGACATGCTGAAGCTGATCTGGCAGCTGCTGATAACGACATTGCCACTACGAAGCCGTCTTTCGTTTGGACTTGTTTCAAATGTCACCAGGTAAGAGATGGATTGCGCAGTAATTATCTCTATTGTGTCACTGGCAATGAGATATCCAAGAGAACTCGTACGATCAAATTACAAGCAACAGGTCAACTAGATCATGTAGGAAAGATCTGATTTATTTGGCCTCCAAAACACTAGAAAAGGTTGTTAACTTTTGTCTTCTCAAAGACTTGCTTAATGCAATTTGGATCAAAAGTGGTGCTTTTCCATTCCTTCAGGCGCGATGAAACTACGTTCTTTTTTTTTCAGGCTGCCGAGAAAGCTTTGAAAGCCGCCCAATATTCTGTAGATTCAAACAAGACGAATGTTCACAACTTAGTACAAAATTCCCTGTCGCTGGATGACTCTCAGTTGACCACCTTATCGGACCAGCTTGAAAAATGCGTGGGTGACTCGACGCGCATGCGTTACCCCGACCAGGTTAATTTCCCTCAGATTCCAAGCGACGTTTACACAGAAGAAATTGCGAGAGATGCCGTGGATCTAGCCTCAAGGGTCTTAGAAAATGTCAGAAACAGAATGAGATAAGGTATGTGCGTCTGTGAGGAGCCATGTGGGCTGAGAAAATTAACCACTAGTGTTAAAAAAACTCAATCGTTAGTGCTGACAAGAAGTGAAAATCGATTTAGGTGCCGTTGTAAAATGGCCAATAGTTCGTGTTGAGTACCAATCTCTTCTTTTGTTTCACCGACAGCCGTTGTAAGTCTCCCATGGAAAGTACTAATTATAAACTGCTAGTGTTCAGATAGATAGTACTGAATATCAGTCGTAGTTTAGAATAACAATCGATGGTGTTTAACCTTTATTGCTTGTGTTATTGAACACACCAATTGTTTGTGTTGAAATCAATCAACTTCAATCACTAGTGTGACCATCAATCGTTTGCACAATGCGTAGAGATCGCTTGTGCAAAGAGTCGAACGTCAGAGCTCGTACAAAGTATCGAATTGTTATGGATTCCAAAAATGGCGTCCAAAGTAACGCAAAGATTGGCCCTCCTATTTTCAGGTCCCTGAAGCGGCAAGGTGTTCGCGCGTTAGTTATCTTTATTGTTGTGGGGTAAGAAAACAAACCGAAAAGCTTCTCAAAATTTGTAAAAATTGTATTTTGGTATACTTGTTTTCTTTCAATAATGGGCCGAGATAATCGCTTTGTGTGGGAATGTGACGATGACCGCGAATCTCTCGGAAGACACCAAATTGGTAGAAAACTTTTCGAAGCCTTGTTGACGCTGTATCTCGCCTAACAACAAAAAACATAGATGACGCGTCAACAACCAGCCCTCCGAGAGACCTGGTACTGGGTGTGCCAGCCTGTACCTCTCTTAACGCTTGAGTCTCGAAAAGTTAAAGAAATCACCATGTTTTTGCGTTCGTAGGAAAGAAATTTGAATCATAATTTTAACTCCGGAACGATTTTCTAGAAACTACCGAAAGTGTCTTCGTTCTTTGAAAATGATCAAAATCAAAAACTCGGCAAAAAAACTTTCTGGTCCAAACGTTTTCTAAGCGGACTTCTGATTTAGATTTCCATCGGGTGCTTAAGACAGTTTTTGTCACAAATTTTGAGGAGGGGTTGCCAAATTTTAATATCTTGTAACTTTCACTTCTTACCTTTGCGCATTTTCTGTTTGGTGTATTATGCGTCGATGTCTTTTTATGTTGAACAATCAACCAAATCGATATCACTTTCGTGTGTATTGTTTCAATTTTGGTGAGCAGTGGTCGAATACGTATGCCATATACCAGTAATCACTTCAATCTAAAAGGATCAGTGTCAATTAGATTTTTACTTAACAAGTTTTTTCTGCTGATTTACATTAGAACTGCGTCAATAATTATAACTGAACTCTTTTGTACTTTCCACAGGTGATACTTTTCAAGACTGCTGGGGCTACTTTGTTGGGCTTCCCAAGATGTCTTTAAAGTCAAGTTTTCAGCGTGATATTCGGACGCGGTTTAAGTGACAACCGTCATAACCGTCTCAATTTTTAGTATCTTTCCCTCCTATCCATGACTTACTCAACCCGAAAATTATTATGCAAGATTGCGTACATAAATAAGAAGTAGAAAAAGAAAGAATTTACAGACATGATGAATAGCAATCCTTAGGTGGGATACTTGTTAGGTCGACGATCCAATGTTATTCTTTTGTAACTGGACCCTCTTCTAGCTTAGTTTATATTAACCGAAGAAGTTTGTTTTCTGAATTTACTGTTACAATAGTACCTGATGAATAACTAGCTTGAAAATCTGTAAGAATCATCCGCAGGTGAATTTGAGAGACAGAAATGATACATTGCGGAGCAGTGCTATGCACGACCAGAATAATGCAAACAAGGCTAAGAGAATTGTCGTGTTGTTTATTTTTGTTCTTCTCCCGGGGTTTTCTCTTGTGGTATTTTTGACGCCATGTTAACCTACGTTCTCACAGGGAAGTAGAGTTAACCTACGTTCTCACAGGGAAGTAGAGTTTTGTTGCATGAAAGAACTTTTGCCATAATGTTTTCACATTATCCATGGCATTTTCTTTTATTTCTTCCTATTAGTTTGTGTTATTATTTTAGAGTTGAAAAGGTAGCCCTGGACAGCATCAGGGAAAAATAAGTTACAAATAGAAGCCAGTAAACCTATCCGCGAAACCCTTTTAACAGTTTAAGGATAAGACGTGTTTAGTTAAGTTCTAAAGTAAGAGTCAACCAACTAAATTTGACAATCAAGCTGTTGGTTTCTATCCATATCTTAAAAGTAGGTTACCTATGGTTGCTGGGGAAGTTGTGGTTAATAAATACTTATTATTCTATTCATTCTTAAGCGCTCTCTTACATTTTCGTGAAACTGATAGAGCTTCTTTCCCTGGGGGATACCTCCTGACGTTAGGCTGATGTGCCTCTTGATGGGGTCACATTTTCACGACTGGATTCTTTATGATGGGTTTGCATTCTTAGTCGAGTTATTAATAAAGTTGGACATTTTCGGGAATTTGAGAGTAAGACAATACTGGGAGGAATTTAAAAATGGAAAGATTCGCGGTTACAAAGTTTTTACTTTGCCCAAAAGTGACTAAGATGGCGTTTAGAATTGACCACAGAACAAACTATAATGATGTAGGGGGTCTTAAAGGCCAACAGCACATACCTAGAAAAATGGACCCAACCCCCTCCCCCCACCCCTTACCAGCTCCTCCCCACAGCCTCCCTGGTCCTTATCGTCATCAATGTCGCACTGGGTAAAATACAGGGACTAAGCAAAGGAGCCACATCATTACAATATGGGTCATGTTTTTTCGATCTGCATTTTACTTTTAATAAGTTTCTGTGCTATTTATTGGTAGGCCGTTATCGGGTCTATAAGTCCATACTAAGCGACGTAACCGCTCCAGACAACGCCTCTCGCGTCACAACCTTTATGGGCTTTGTAGTTTCTCGTCCAAGTTGACTCTTGAGGTTCTTTTTCACCAGAGCACCTTGTTTTTTTTGCAATCACATAATGCTTGCGTTTTCAAGAAAACAGTTCTTTATCAGCTCACAAATACGAGATGTAAGTAAAACAGAGCAAACTGCATGAAAAATCCACTTTTCTATAACGAAATTCAAATCGCCCGTGGACTACTACCTATCTCTAGGTACACTAAACTTTCATTCTAGGCATAAAAAAATTTGGTTTAAAGAGCATCAATTTCGTCTCAGTGGCACTTGAAAGGTTTTACTGAGAAGCCTGAGAAAACTGAGCGCAGAAAGAGAAAAAAAGTCTATGCGGTCTAGGAGAGAATTTCTGCCACAAGCGACCTGCTTGAACCTAACTCTGGGAGACCATCGGAAAACCAATAGAGGTCCAGTAAATTGTCGTGAGGTATACACAATGTTGAATTTACCGGCTCCCCGGAAAAAAATTAACCCTATAACATGAAAAGCAGATTATGTAACTGGACCCGCTTTTTACGGCTTTTTCTTTCCTTAAATAATTTCGCAAGAAAATTATTTATTGGTTTTGCGATAGGACTTCACCAGGTAACTAGCCTTTAGCGGAAATCATGAGTATGTCATATTTTCCAAAATAAAAAAGAAAAATATACAAACAACTTGATGTTGACAAGGAGACCAACTATCAATGTTTTACTTAGTGACTCACCTTTGTTTGAATAGCAGTAGGAGGCACAAGTTGATTTACATACCAAATGCTTCTGACGAAAAAAGATCTTAGCAACAGAGATGCCGGCTATAATTGTTTTAGCCTGTGATTGAATCAATGAACCAGGGTTATCTGGTGAAGTACTTTTAGGTCGAACCAGTGGTATCCGAACCCAAAATAGAAGGCCTCTTCAGTCAAGGTAAGAAACTTTAGTTTTTCTGATCAAGCCAACCTTGCGGGTTTGAACATGTCGGAATTGATAGTTACTTCGATTATAACACTGAAGTAAAGTTAAGAGAGGACAAGAAAGAAAACAAAGTAGTGACGCTCCACATGATTTGTGATACATCTTTGCAAAAAAAACTTTCTTAAAAACTGAACAGAACTGTTAACTATGGTTAAAATGAATGAATAGGCACTCAGACGAGCCGTTACCAGCGAAGCGAACCATCCCGAAAGAACTAAAGACATCTTTATTCATTTTGACTCCCGCGCAAAATATTGGCACAACCTGAAAAAGATCTGCCGATGAAATTCATGCATGATAAAATTAAGAAAAGATTAAGAAACTTACCTTAAACGAAACTTGACCAATTCCGTATTGAGACTTATCGATATGTGTTCCACTTGAGTGGTTCATCCGCCATTAGAGATTAAAAATAATAAATGAATGAAAACCAAATCTAACCTCTTCAATTTATTCACAGAAAGTAGACAATGACGTAGCGGAAGTAGTGGAATGATTTTCCGAGAAATGAGACACGTGACATAATGTTAACCAACTTCCTAAATTTCTAAGAAACACTTTTCTGTTCTTAGAAATAGTTCCTAGTTCGACTTGCTCTTATTTTGCAGAAGAATTTGTAGGCGAAAGATGGATTTCATGAAAAAGATGGCGAGGTTTGTAAAAAATAGCTCAAAAGTTAAGTAAATTATCTGAATTTAGACATAATAAGCAAAGTGCAGGCGAAATCGCGAAGTTGTGAAGTGACTAACCTTAAAATATACATATGTTTGTTTCATCTGTCAATTGATGAGCGACAACTCGTAATTTTATTTATCGCGAATAGATGCATCAACATGATTAAGAAGCTTTTAATGTTACAGCAGTTGTTGATTCGCAAGGAAATTGACAAAGAAATGGGAAAAATAATTGTACGATATTGCAATTTGTAACTTACAAGTGGTTTTAAATATTCTTCTTTACCAACAGTTGAATTTCTCATAAAAAGTTTCATTCGCCGGCATCTGCCTAAAGATATAAAATGTCCATCAGTGAAGTTCAGCCGAAATTGACTTTAATAAATTTCTACTGTTAATGATTGGAACACCGGCACTTATTAAGACATTTCTTTAACAGACATCTTGAACAACTTTAACCTATCATAGAGCTCTATTTAAACTATTTTAACTATTTAGTATATGTGCTATCTGCTTAAGTGTATTTAACTTTCACCCATCCCTAACTGCTCTGTGGTAGTGGCCAACTCAAAAGCTTGGCTCCTTTGGCTACTACACACTCTTTCCACTGCTTTATGTAAATTCATGTATAGTTAGAACTCTCTTCTTTTTTTTTTCTACTTTTTCTCTTTCTCGTTGTTGTATTTTTAGTAGAATAAGTGTGAGTAAAAGAATGGCTGAATGAATGAACAGATCCACAATTGTAAGATGAGCAGTTCTTAAGAAGCCAACTCTGATTGTTCCAAATGGGTGAGTAGCAAGTTTAGTTTTTTGTCTTCCACTTGTTTTTCTTTGTTAGTAAGAGCACCAGAACAATTACCTACTGTTAGACATAAACCTTTAAAAACTGAAAAAAACCTCGGTGCGAAAGTGACTTCATGAATTATTTGACTGCCATGTAAACATTTAGAAATTTAAATACAACGCCACACGCTAACAAGGAAATATGGATGGTTGATCAACACAGATAAACAGTGTATAGTCAGGCAAGCAACGACAGAGTCCATTTTAAAAGAAAAGTAATATAGGGTGGTAGTTCAGACTAAAAGGCAAACAAATAGGCTGAAGAAACAAAAAGTTACACACCCAAGCAGTGCAGACAGACAAGCAAAACAAGAAGTCTGGGAAGACAGATAAGCAACATTGGCAGGGAGTGTAGGTAGTTATGCAGCAGACATGCAGCACAGTATACACAGTGTAAACAAACAAGCAATATGGCAGGCAGCATAGAGAGGCAAGCTGCAGAGGTAGGCAATGTAGAAAAACATACAGCACATCCAGAAGTTTGAACATACAAGCAGCACTGGCAGGTAATGTTGACAGAGAAGCAACACTGGCAGGTAATGAAGTCAGACTAGCAACACAGGTAGGTTGTGTAGCCAAGCTACAAAGGAAAGGAAACAACATTGGCGAGCAGTGTGGACAGACAAGCAACTTTACAAGTAGTGTGGACAGACATACTGGTAATTAGTGTAAACAATCATTAAACACTGATTGATAGTGTAAAAAGTTATGTAACACTGAGGCAGTGTAGTCAGATATGTAACAGTGCTGGGCAGATTAGACAGACATTGTGACGATACATAAGCAAGCAAAAAGTCAGAACATAATGCAGATTGTAGTGTTACAAAGGCATTGTCATTTGCAAAGGAGAGAAGCTATGTGACAGCAAACAAAGAAAGATAGTAATGGCTTTTAGACAATGGGTTATAAAATTAAACCAGCAGCTCAAAAGGGTTTATACAGATCATTGCAAATCATAGGCATATTGATGATGTCATGCTTTTCCAAAGAATGATGCAAGTAAGCAACTCTTGTGCAATTAAATGTTAAGCGTAGTTTGAGGACACCACAATGTGTTAGTGATTAAATTTAGGCATCTGTCCTTTTTTCTTTTATTATTTTAATAAGAGGCTGAAAATTCTCTCATAATAGTTGCTGATGTTATAATTTTTCTTATCAGCAGGCAAAGAAGATGATGGATTTGATTTGATCAGGCCAACTTTGATCCAGCAGTTGAGAACAATCCTAGATCAGTATCCAGATGATGGACAAATATTGAAGGTACTGTATGAAAGAAAGAGGGCTAACTACTACAAACAGTCCTCTGAAAAGTAGAGAAGGGGGCTGGAGTAGGTCAGTGTTACTTTTAGACACCCTGTCCTCTTATGAGTGTTGCGGAAGGGTAAGAGCAGGGGTGTCCAAGAGCAATACCACAATTAGCTAAAGAATAAATATATGCAAGGGGTTAACAGATCTTTTTATGCAAGTATTCCTGTTGTCTTTCTCTCTTGAAATGTGTTTTGTTATAACAGGAGCTCATCCAAAATGCAGAGGATGCACGTGCAAGTCATGTAAAATTCCTTCATGACAAACACTGCTATGGTACAGCAAAATTATGGAAGGGTCTAGCTAAATTTCAGGTAGGTTTTGTTTTCAATGCACAAGATGGGAGGGGGGAAGGTGAGTCTCAGTATTCAATATCCTATTCATTTTGGCCAAAATATCCTAAATTCCTGTGGCTTGTATCCTTGTGATTCCAGTTTGATATTCTATGATGTCTATTTAAATATCCCGAATCCCATAACTGATATTTTCCTCATATATCCTGTAAACACCTTATTTTTTTACTCAAATATCTCATATCCGGATAACTCCTAGGAAGGCCTCAAGCCTTATCATTAAGGTAAAGAAGGTCCTGATTTTTTACATAGATCACAAAGCTTGGGTAAGGCAATGGCTTGAATCAGTCATCTTTAATCATTCTAGTATTGACCCACGATTTCTTTGTGTTTTAAAGCTCCAATTAGAATAGACGCATCAAAATTTAAAAAAAAAAAAATATTTAACAATTATTCCACGAGCGCGCGTTGGATATGAGATGATAGATAGCCAACGAGGCGCTACGCGCCTCGTTGGCTATAATCATCACATATCCA